GACCTTTATGGAAAAATAGTAAACTGTGTGATCGATACCCATCATCTTCCTGTAAAAGAATGGCGTCAAATATATAACACTGTTGAAAGCCTGCTGACAATCTGTAGACCAATTACAAGAATGGGAACTACTGTACCTGTAGTTTCTACTACTGTACTGAAGTTTCTAGATGCTCTAGGTCAGAGGTCGGAAACCCAAATGTTAAGAAGAGCCATTTTGTCCTTTCAGCAAAAATCAAACCACCTTGAGAGCAACAACATTTTATGTCTATTTTACCATCTTGGCTGTAAATATGTCTCAGTATGTGCTGATGTGCTAGTATAGGATAAAAAATATAATATAAACGAAAACGCAGACTTACTTTGCTCTGCTTTAAGCTTTAGCTCAGCTATAGCCGCATTTCTCGCATCTCTGGCAGGAAACCTTTTCAAAAATAGAACAGTTTTTTGTCAAATTTCTTTTAACATTCGATTTTTTATGAGGCTGAAGTACTTTTCATTCGCTTCTTGCTCAAATTTTCCTGTTCCACGTGAAATGGCAAGTACCAGTTAAGGTGGAAAGTGACCATTCGAATGACAAACTGACTTCAGCTTTGCAACTTTTTAGTGTTTGTCAGTTTCTCGTTGCAGATTAAACGTATCCGGAAACCAGCTGGAGTCATTATAAACACAAATAAACACAAATAAGTCTTATTATCGATGTTCTCTTTGCTGTTTCGTTACCTACTAGCTAGGCGAGACTGTTGTCTGTGTTGCTATGATGACCAGCAGTCTGCGCTGATCTTCAGGGTTAAAGGGTGAATTAGCAGTTCTACATTAACTCCAGTGTTTAAGACCATTTATTGTTAAACTGTGTTGAACAATCAGCAGAGCTTTATTTTACTGTAAAGGATTTTAGTATTTTATTTTTACCTACAAATCTAATTCTGCTGTGGAGCCGCAACAGGGCAGTAAAAGAGCCGCAGGTTGCCGACCCCTGACCTGGAGTTTCTAGAGCATGAAGACATAACTTATAATCCTCTGAAACGTAGCGGGGGCGTTTTTCATGCCAAAAGTGTGGGCCAAAAATGTCAAAACTTGGTGAAAAGAAAAAGAAAACTTCTACAATAATTCAAATTTGTGCAATATATAAAAAACAAGACATTTTTCAGGGCCTAGAAATCATTATGCTTTCTCTGAAGGACCAGAGAGCCCTGATGATTCCCCACCGCCTTACATATTACTAAATACCATCGTCACGCCTACTGCCGAGGACGCTCCTACTGTCTGTTCGTTGCAACCAGCAGATTCTGTAGTATCCATGGACTGTAAAGAGTACTACAACTCCCATGAGTCTCTGGGGGAACCTATATCTCCAACCTCATCTCCATCAGCCAATGGGTTCTCTATTCTATGCTCCACTTCCCTGAGTTCTGATGTCTTACCTGTTTGTCATTACATGTAATCAGGTAGTATATCAGCCCGGGCTTTAGTTAAGTCAATTGCGAAGTATTACCAACATCTCCAGTTGCATAGCAAGCGTTCTTTGTATTGTTGAATACCTGCGTGTGACCTTTTCACATTTCCCTGACCATTTTTTTGCACCATCATTATCATTTTTGCATTTCTGTGTTTGACCCTGGACTGTGTTTTGGACCTCTCTCTATGATGCTCCTGTTCTGGATATCCTGTTTTCTGGTTTTGACCTTGAACTGTTTTGACCATGATTGTTGTGTAAATCCCTCATTCTCAATTAAAGCTCTACCTTGTGTTTTTATCTGCGAGCGTCTTATTGGTTCTGAGACCCTGACAGCCATTTTCTGAATTTATATTTTTGCAATTAATGACAGCTTCTGTTAAGCTTAGTCTCTATTTTATTACATCCTTCTCTACATCCCACTGTTTTATTACCTCATTCTCTACATCCTCACTTCCTTCTTATTAAACTCACTGTTAAACACATAAAAACAAAATGACTTTTTAATGGCATTGGTTTTCAGAGTGGCGCAGTGGGTAGCCCTGTTGCCTCACTGCAAGAAGGGCCTGGATTTGGTTCACCGGTTGGGTGACCAGTGTCCTTCCTGCGTGGAGTTTAAATGCTCCTTATGTCTGTGTGGGTTTTTACTCCGGGTGGTCCAGTTTCCTCCCACAGTTTAAAGAGACCATTAAAATGTTTCCTGGGCAAACATAAGCAATCACGACATAATATCAATGCTATATAGCACCAAAAAGTGTTCTTCTATTGTTGTAAGCCTGGCATTGTAACAATACCAGAACCCTTTTGGTGCTACATAGAACCTTTTCAAAAGGGTTCTTTATAGAACCATCTACAGCACATTCTCCAGTAATCTTAAGAACCATTTCCCGATGTTAATAACCCTTTAATCTTCATGCTTTTATATATAACGATTTTCTTCACCAAAGAACCATCTTTTAAGATTAACTAGCTAACTTAGCAAGTTGACATTAGTTAGTTTAGCAACTTACTGCAGACTGTAGGCTGTTTTTGGGTGGAAGACTGAGTCCATGTTCCTCCTGAAGACTGAAGATAGCAGCTTTTACTGGCTCAAATCCACGTCTGCCTCAAAACAGTGGCAAAAGAATTTTGCTTTGAAGACTAAACGGATGTGTAAAATGTCTTTTAAACCGCTCTGATTGGTCCATTTCCGTCATTTGGGGTGAGCGATGATTGGTGAATTACTAGCTGAGCACTTAAGAAAGAATGGCATATACAAGAAAAACTGTAATAAAAAAGTTGTAAATTAGTAATTGTGAAATTATGATGATAATCCACAGCCATAAACCAAAAAAAGACCATTGTATGCCCTGTCCAAGCATAGAAACCCACTCATAAGCAATCAACACACTGATGCTCAACACATGCAGCTTATGTAAAATATAGAGACATCCATCTTAACTGATATCTATATCAAACACACGTCTAAATAATCAATAACTCATGGTTAATTTGGAGAGAGAAGCTTCTTTGTGGACACTAGGTGACTTTTCCATGGTTATAGGTTTAAGGTTACATAAATAGAAAACAATAATCTTTCACTCATAATAAAAATTGCAAGAAATATGAATATTAAAATATCTATTACTTTGAACTTTTCCAACCACATTTTTTCTAACGTAATATGTCGCTTAATTTCACCCAAACAATGAACCAAAAGCATGTATATGCTGACATTTGACTATATGGGAATGTTTGGGGTCAAGTTTATACAATTATTTTGTTTTATTTGAGAGTAATCATGTGTGTGTGTGTGTGTGTGTTGTTGTTGTTCTTTCAAAAAAAAAATTTGAAAAATTAATTTCCTGTTAATAAACCACAGTATAGATACGTCCAGGCACTTTTTTCCATGCATCGACCGGGTACCCTGGCTAGAAATCAAACACAATGCGTGTTCGGGAGTGTTCTGAGCTGCACACAGAAGATTAAGAAATTCCTGGACACTACAAATTTGAGTGTGCAGGTCATTAAATTCATGTAGTGTGGCATTTTCCTGGCATCCACCAAACCCAGATTCGTCCATCAAACTGCCAGACAGTGACACGATTCATCACTCCAGAGAACAGATTTCCACTGCTTTCTTACATCTAGTCTGGTGTGCAGCTGAAAACCCATTTCATGAAGTCCTTGTTGCACAGTTCTTGCCACGATGTTGCTTCTAGAGGCAGTTTGAACTCTGAAGTGATATAAGAGCAGATAGGTAATCATTACACACTTCAACACTCAGCAGCCCCACTCTGTGGGTTTGCATGGCCTTTTGCTTCGTGACTGAGCTGTTGTTTCACAATTTCACAACAGTAGCACTTACGGTTGACCATGGCAGTTCTAGCAGTGCAAAACATTCATGAACCGCCTTGTGGCAAAGGTTGAATCTTATGACAGTGTCACATTTAAAGTCACTGAGATCTTCAGTGCGACTTAGTCTACTGCCAGTGTTTGTCTATGGAGACTGCAAGGCTATGTACTTGACTTTACACACCTGTTAGCAATGAGTGTGGCTAATACACCTGAAGTCAATGATCAGAAAGAGTGTCAACATACTTTTCTAATTATCTCCATAATTATTCCATAATTCCATAATTATCTCAAACCCTGCTGCTTGTGTTAGTTTGCGTCTCTGGTTTCGGTGGTTTTCATGTAATTCTTAGCTGTGTTTCCAAGTGTGCAGACAGACAGACATACATATACAATCACACATATTCACACCTAGGGGCAATTCAGCATGTCCAATCAGCCTGACTGCATGTTTTTGGACTGTGGGAGGAAACCCACGCAGACACAGGGAGAACATGCAAACTCCACACAGAAATGACCCTAGTCGCCCGGCTGGGAATCGAACCCAGGCCATTATTGCTGTGAGGCAACAGCGCTACCCACTGCACCAATTCTGACATAGTAGCTCATAATTATGACTTATTGTATCAGAATTATGACACAGCAAGTTATATTTGAGAGATACTAAGTCCAAATTATAAGATGCTAAGTCATAACTATGAGATGCAGTCTTATTTTTATGAGACAGTAATTCATAATCATGACATTATAAGTCCTAATCATGAGATATTCTGTCATAATTTTGATATAAATCATAATTTTGGGACTCTTTCTCATTATTATTACTTACTAAATGGCAAGGTATTTCTTCCCAGTGGCGAGAACAGACTGAAGACTTATCTCTTTTTTAGTTAAGTATTCACTGTAATGTATTGTACTGCACTTATTGAAATGTATTGTATTGTACTGCACTGCTCTGTGTTTATCTCTGTTCCTTTTTCTCTGTGTATCAACATGGGCTTCTGATTCTAGCAGTATCTGAGCTCAGGACTGGCTTTCTCTCCAACCTATTGGTCACTAGCAAAGATACTTTCTCTAGACAGACAAAGCACTTTTTGTAGGTCGCTCTGAATAAGAGCGTCTGCTAAATGCTGTAAATGTAAATGAGAACGGGCTTCTATAGGACTGACACGTAAGGCGCACTTCACCCTGCTGTCCACAGATGGCGATGATGCTATCTTGCTGACAGGCGAGAAGAAGAGCAGACGCAGAGGTGTTTTGGTGAAAGTTGAGCGGTTTTCTGCACTAAAATATAACAAAAAACAGCTCCCTGGATGAGAAACACCCTCAAGTGGCTAATCCTTTGTGGTTTATGCTTAATGTGAACATTTCCAGCCATTCTAAATCATGACAGAAGTGCACAGGTAAACAAAAACAGCTGGTTAGCTTGGCTGAAGCTAGCGGCGTTAGCTCAGTGAGATTTCTGTTATTTTGTGAAATTAATTAAAAGCGAAGGCTTATAATGTTACTGGCTTCATCCATTAGGCTGTCTCCTCCTTCAGCTTTGTTACAAACAGCATGTTTGTGTCTTCAGAAACCACCAGAGGAGTGTTTGGCTAACGGCTACATGCTAAGCTGGCTGGACTGATGTTGGACTCCTCTTAGCGGTTTATCAGCTGTGTGATTATAGCGATGTTTTCCAGATGGATTATTGTATCAGTTGATATTTAAAGGGGAATTCCACCGATTTTTCGCGTAATGAAATCGATAAGATGTAAACAAAGTCGTTCAGAGTGGTTTAACCTCTTATTGACCAGGGTATATTTCGGTTTGTCCATCTGAATTTACATGACCAAATCATAAGGCAAATTATTCAGTAACTGCATGAAATTAGTGTAAATTTTTATTTATTTCTGTATTTTAAATACATAAATAATGTGAACGAACCGGTGTCCTGAAATGACCCGCATGCGCACATCCTACTCAGTAACGTCACGTGAATGAATCACGATCATCATCAGCACAAACAGAACGAGATTCGCTGAGAAGATATTTTTTTTTTGTAAAAGTTCCCCTCAGATTAACAGAACGTGTTTTATGCTCATACACATGTTGCTATATGCTTACAATTTACTGCTGAAAGCCAAAAATCTTAGACGCTCTTTGTATTATTTTATAAAAATAATGTTTACAGAGCAGATCACTGAAGAGACGCCATCTGTTTATAGTTTATAGCCCAGATTTGTGGGAAAATGGGTCAACTGAGTTCAGCTTCTTTTATTATAAGGGTTTAAAGTTACATCACCCATCTATTTGACTGGAAAGAAGACTCTCATATGACCCCCACCTTTTGAATGTAGCTTATGAAATATGAAAGTTATGAAGAATATGATGAAGTGTGTTTTGGAACCACCGGTGGTCTCAAGGAGTTGAAGAGGTTAATGTGAAATGCTTCGTTCTAGAGAAACCCTACCATTTTAGAGCTGTTCAGAGTGGTGGTGATAGGAACCAGATGTCTGATGAGTTTAATGTCTCCCTCACAGAAAGCTATGAACGCAGAATTGTTCTGAATATGTTGCCTGATGTCTGAGACGTTGTTTTACGATAGTTTTGAGATAAGATTATGGTCTGAAATATATTTTTCAAGTCCATTTATGGCGGAGAGGTACATTCAGGCATATTCCTTTCTGTTTTATCATCAGCATTACATATAAAAACTCTTGAGCTACGTTCACGTTACAAGCCTCATTGCTCAAATCCAATCTCTCTGACAGGATGGTTCACACTCGTTTAGGTAAGTGACTCAAATCTTTCATTACTGTGACAACCCGGCGTCCTGAAATGACCCTCATGAGCTCATCCTACTCAGTAACGTCACGTGAATGAATCACGATCATCATCAGCACAAACTAACGAGCAGAACGAGCTTCGCTGAGAAGATAATTAACTCTGATCAGCTCTCAGCTTCATTATTAGAGCGAGACGAAGGAGAAAAAGGTGAGATGAGCTGCTTTTCCACCGTTTACAGGCTTTAACTTCTGTTCAGCGCTGCTGCCATGGTAACGCTGAATGATGGTGCAGCGCAGTGGGGAAAAATCACATGAATTCTGATCTGAGCGTCACATTAAGATCGCATGACCATGAATCGGATACGTATCCGATCTAGGAGCACATACGAAAGTGACTCAGGTCGGATTTGAAAAGATCAGATTTGTGTGTCCACACAGCCCTGAAAACATCAGATCTGAGTCACATTAGGGCAAAAAATTAGATTTGTGCCATTTCAGCCCTTTTAATGTGAACATAGCCTTGGAGACGCTTGTAGGTTCACTGGTGATTTTGGATAGTAAGTTAAATGGCTGTATTTGTGTTGTAGACATCACAAGCCCTGGTTCCTGTCACCACCACTGTGAAAGATCTCAGTGGATAAGTTTGTCAAGTTCGGAGTGACAATAATGTGATAACAGTACGGACGGCACAGAAAATTTGTACCGTTTTTGTTTGTTCACTGTATACTTTACCAAAATCCTGTTAACATAACTATTTACTAAGCTCTGCCCAGAATGTGTGCTCTCTTCTCCAGATGCCAAGATGATCACTGTCATCTTTAAAAACACAAAGCAGAGTAGAAAAAAGAAAGAAATTAAATTTTGCTTTAATAATCTGGATCAATGTGTGTGCGCTGTATTGAAAATCATTGTCTTTCTTTTAGATTCAGATTTGATGTTGCACTTTTATAATAACTAGCCGTTTGCATTGACGTGTCTTGGGTGCCACAGTGAGCTGCAACTCATCCACTTTTACTTGTTTTGCAGATATTAGCCATCCCACAGTAGTCAATCTACGGCACACCAGGCTTTCGGCTTGCAATGGACTCCCTCAACACCCTCTCCAACTTTGAGTCAGAGATGGAGTCGGATGGTCAGGGCAGTTACTCTCTCTTCCCGGCGCTGGACAACATGGCCGGTCTGTCAGGGACGTCCGAAACACTTGAAACGTGAGTAATCGATTGATAGTCTGAGAGGTGGAAAGGGTGAGAAACACTATTTCAAAATCATGACTTTAACATCAGAGGCTGTATTACAGAAACCACATATTACAGAATCTTAACTCTGAAATCTGATCTGTTTAGTCACGACAACAGTTTCATTTAGGAGTGAATTTAGGACAAAAGTAATTGCAGAAGAACAGTTCTTCAGAAAACACTATTACAGAAACATCCGAACTAGACAAACCTTCCTAAATTTCGTCCTGACTTTAAGACAACCCCAGTTGTGTCCTAACTTGTGTTTTAACTGTTCATTTCTGTTGTTTTTAGACAACTGTTAAAGGCAGCATAGTTCACAACTGTTGGGAATTTTTTTATTTTGATTTATTTTCTAGTTTTCTGTTTATTTTCCTTTGCTTTAATTGTTGTTATTCATTGTTAACCTCTTAATCACCAGGGTATATTTTGTTTTTTCCATCTGAATTTACATGACCAAATCGTAAGGCAAATTATTCAGTAACTGCATGAAATAAACGTAAATTTTTAATTTATTTATTTATTTATTTTTGGGTAAAAGCTCCCCTCAAATTAACAGAACATGTGTTTTATGATCATACACATATTGCTATATGCTTACAATTTACTGCTGAAAGCCAAAAATCTTAGATGTTCTTTGTATTATTTTATAAAAATAATGTTTACAGAGCAGATCACTGAAGAGACGCCATCTGTTTATAGTTTATAGCCCAGATTTGTGGAAAATGAGTCGACTTTCAGTAGACAAAAAAAATTGAGTTGAGTTCAGCTTCTTTTATTATAAGGGTTTAAAATTACATCACCCATCTATTTGACTGGAAAGAAGACAGTTACAGCTCTCATACGACCCCCACCTTTAGAATGTAGCTTATGAAATATGAAAGTTATGAAGAATATGACGAAGTGCGTTTTGGAACCACCGGTGGTCTCAAGGAGTTGAAAAGGTTAAACAGTATTAATGCTGAAGGGTTTAAGAAGCCACCTCCATTTTTGTTCTCGTGGTTTGAACCATTACACCAAATGGACTTACAACACCCCCTAAGGAGGACGTGTTGGGGCAGAACACAGTTAGGTTTTTACGACTGGATTCAAATGTCCCACTCTGCTCTGTATGACTATTAGGGGTGGGGGGTCAGTGGCATAGCATAAAAACTGTGTGTCTGAGCTGCTGATTAGACTGGGATGAGACTAAGGCAGGTATACTGAGCTGTCTCTTTTTAATAAAACCATCATTATTTCTGCAAACCCCGGTCTCCTGAAACTCTTCCATGGCAAGATCAAAGATTTTCTACACAACTAACATAATATCGTTACATTTATTTACAGGCTACTGCAAAATTGTGGTTTCACTTATGAGATGTTTTTCTTTTCTAACTGCATTTTAAAAATCCCAGACACTGCAGACCATCTCTAGTGTCCCCTCTTATTACCTTCATGTGTTAATGTTGATAAAACCCCAAGAGTTGAACATGTGGCTGATTATTAGAAGGAATAATGTTAGCACAGCTCGCACGGCCGGCTAAAGCATTTGGGAAATGGGAAAAACTGAAACTGGAGCAGTGTCTGTGTTTACATGCAGAGATCTGATTGTATACATTCCGATTACAGATTAAGACTGAGGTGTTTATCTCACTCTATTGAATAATCTGATGGAAAATCTCTGTTTACATGCTCACTACAAGTAATCAGATCTAAAATGACGCACATGCGTAGAGGACCACTTAGAGTGAACGTTACCATGACAGTGAACATCACGTGTGTCCTGTCAGAGTGAGACGAGCAGCAGTGAGCAGCGCTTGTGTTTTTAATTACTTTAAAATGATGTCGGACTCAGGAAAACGTCCTTCACATGTCCTTATTAAAGAAGGCCGAGAGGAAGACGTCGTGTTCTGAGACACATAAGCTGGACGTCCGTCCCACCGCCGTCTTTTAAAGATCAGAGCATAAACTTCGTCTCCTCTGCAGACCAGTTTCTGCTCCGCCATGTTGAACGGTATAAACTTTCACTGTGACGTGACGAACATGATCAGAACGGACTTAAACTCTCCTATTGGGAATGTAATCAGTTACAGGCGTTTACATGGATATTATTCTTCTATTTAACAGATTATTTACAGGATTACCCACCTCATTCAATCGGATAGAAACTGTATTCCGATGGCCTCAATCAGACTAGACTATTCCTATTAAAGTGTACATGGACGTATTCTATTCCAATTGAGCTATTAGTCGGATTATTAACATTATTTTGGTTATGCATTTACGTTTCAGCAATGTGTGTATTGTCGGTTGCCAGGTAACAGACATGATAGTTGATTGTCAGCTTTGATTCAGTAGGTTAATATTTCGTAACTTGAGAGAAAAGAAGATGTTGTAAGATAGGATAAAATTCCTAAATTAGGATAACATTTGCCTCTGTAATATGAATTTGTGAAAAATCTGATCTTGACCTGTCGGATCTTAACTTAAGACAAAAAGACCCCAAGTTTCTGTAATACAGCCCCTGGTTTCTCAGTGTAGGAGAGATGTTGGCACAGCTGTGTGCTGCTGGGAAAGATCAAACAGCTTGTATTAGGAATGTAAAAATACACAAATTTCAAAAAAATATATTTTTTCTCTTTTTTCACGCAGTACAATAGTTTACAAAAGAGTTCATAATTTGTTTGTTTGTTTATTTATTTAGGTTTTAAATTGTTGGGTGTGTTGCTTTTCTGTTTAAGGGAACCATCTGGAGAAGTCACAGACAAACCGAACCTCACATGGCTCGATGCTGCCCAGGTTGAATGTTTTTTTCAGTTCCCTCCAGATATTAGTATGAAATTGTGCTTTAATGATATTTAGTTGCGTATGACTTCTTACATTGTTGAACTAAATCAAGACTTTTCTCAAATCGTTTCAGATTGTCCTGGAAGAGGCAGGACGTCCCATGCACATCAAAGAGATCAAGCAGAGGATCATTGATCGGGGATTAGTGCAATCCAAGTACGACAGTAGATTATGTCTGTCATATTAGAGTGGAGCGGGGTGTAAACTGACATTGGGTAAAAACAAACGTGTGTATTTTAGGTAGGTAAACATGTTTAACTAGAAGGTCCTTTTGATCATCATAGAAGAGTTTCATATCCCCATAGTAGCTTCTGTGAATTTTGACAGTTGGACAGACTGGAGACATTCAGACAACACATTTTAAACATCTCGTGCTCAAAAAGAAGCAGGGCTTCTTGAGGGGGTTGATTAGCGCATTTGATTCACAAGCATGTAAATAACTGGTATTCAGTAATTCGATATTTTGCTATGTTAAAAACAAGTTATTGTGGACAATCTGAAATACTGTCACCGCAGTTTAGGCTACATTCACACAGCAGGTGAAAGTGGCCCAAATCTGATTTTCTCACCAAAATACGATGTTTTTGTTTGGCTGTTCAGATTATCTTTTAAATGTGATCTGTATGTGACATCAGTCTGAACAGATCAGCTCCTAAACTGACCCACATGCACTAAAGAACAGAGCGTCACGCTGCTTCACGGCTCATCCAGAGGTAAACAATCACGACCGCCAACGAACGCCAGTCGCTCCCGGAGGATCAGCTTCATCTTCACCAGCATCACAGGAGCCATCATGAAGCTTCACTGACTGACAGCTAGGCTCATCACCCAGAATGTGTTCAGCTCGCCGTACAGAGGGCGCGGTCACTTCTTTGGTTCGCGTCCTCGGATTCTTTAAACTTTGCTTACAGACCTTTAACTGTTCTTTGACGCTGCAGCCTCGTTCTCTTGTGGCCGCGTTCGGACATTTCTTTCAAAATCTCTTCAAATACGGAGGGTTTTGGATGAGTCTCTAATAATTTTTGAACAGAAATATCACCCCAAATGTTTATGAGTCTCAGTGGCATGAAATGATGATGAATGTCGAGTTGGATTGACATAAAAACCGCATGAATTCCGATCCGGCTGTTCAAACTGAGTTGCATTGCCGCAGATCGGATACGTATCGGATTTCAGTACCACATATGAAAGCGTCTCTAATCGGAATTGAAAATGTCAGATTCAGTGTGTTCATCTGTTCACACTGACACTCAGACACACATCTGTGTCACATATGAAGAAAAAAATTGGATTTGGGCCACTGTGTAAACGTAGACAAAGTTTCTGTTTTGCTGAAGGAGCTCTGCTTTCACACGCTCCAACTGTGCTCTCACAGTCTGATCACATGATACATTTTGTCCTCTGAGGCGATCAATAAACAAAACCACATTGAAATATTTATTGAAAGATTTTACTGTAAATCTGAGGCATACAAAGTAAAAAAAAAACAGTCACCTGAATGTCTGTTTGCAATTAGGTTCAAATAAATGCTGTAACATTTGCACTGACCCCACTTTCAGACGAACTGTTCATGAGCTCATACGTGCAAAACAGAGATTATAGAAAAAAAAAATTTATTTTTATTATTACTAAGCAATAACCAGAAGTGTTAGGTTGTTCCCCGCTCTACATTACTGCATATTTCATAGCTAACAGCTATAATGGAAACAAATTAAAATAATCTTTCTTTCATAGTGCAAAGTCGAGCCTTGAGGCTGTGATGTACCGTGAGGTAAGTCAGACCCGCCCTGAATTGTGATGGAATGGGTACGGTTCGTCAGGCAACCATGTCTGTGGTCAATTATGTTGTGTATACCATGCATCATGTTTAATTTATAACCAGCATGTCTGTTTGCATACATCTTTCTCATTTGCACTCCTTTGTGTTTTTATAAAGCACTACTCTCTCTGACAGAAGGGTCCTGATCAAAACAATAATGCTGTTATTTGGATAAATTAAACTCCCCCCAAGTATAATTCTCTCAAACAGTGCACACCATGTGTAAAGTGACTGGCACCTTGGCGTCCTGTCTGTAGAGTTCAGGCTTCAACATCTAGCTTTGGCTTCAGTTTTGCGCTGTATTTCAGACACAGAAAGGGAGCAGGCGCTTCAAGAGGATTGAGAACAGAAATGGAGTCTTTGCCCTCTTGGTAAGTTTGATTTGTGCTGAGAATTAGTTTCTGAACTGCTATTATGCTGAACAAAACAAGTATGATCTCCAAAGCCAGCGGTCTTTTGTTCTTTGGGTTAAACTAAGGCACATCACAGCAGGCCAGAGGGGGAGAGAGAAGTTAAGACAATCCTAAACTCGAGTTACTTACATCCAAACCTTTTCTTTGCAACCACTATTAGTTTGTCATTGATGTAATCTGTCTATATACACCAACCAGGCATAACATTATGACCACCAAGGAGGTCTTTCTATGTTCTATGTTCAGACTGTAGTCCATCTGTTTCTCTGCATACTTTGTTAGCCCCCTTTTACCCTGTTCTTCAGTGGTCAGGACCCCCATGGACCCTCACAGAGCAGGTACTATTTGGGTGGTGGATTATTCTCAGCACTGCAGTAACACGGACGTGGTGGTAGTGTGTTAGTGTGTGTTGTGCTGGTATGAGTGGATCAGACACAGCAGTGCTGCTGGAGTTTTTAAACACTGTGTCCACTCACTGTCCACTCTATGAGTCACTCTTACCTTGTCAATCCACCCTGTAGATGTAAAGTCAGAGACGATAGCTCATCTGCTGCTGCACAGTTTGTGTTGGTCATCATGTAGTCCTTCATCAGTGGTCACTGTTGGCTGGATATTTTTGGTTGGTGGACTATTCTCAGTCCAGCAGTGACACTGAGGTGTTTAAAAACTCCAGCAGCACTGCTGTGTCTGATCCACTCAGACCAGCACAACACACACTAACACACCACCACCACGTCAGTGTTACTGCAGTGCTGAGAATGATCCACCACCCAAATAATACCTGCTCTGTGAGGGTCCATGGGGGTCCTGACCACTGAAGAACAGGGTAAAAGGAGGCTAACAAAGTATGCAGAGAAACAGATGGACTACAGTCTGTAACTGTAGAACTACAAAGTGCACCTATATAGTAAGTGGAGCTGATAAAATGGACAATGAGTGTAGAAACAAGGAGGTGGTCATAATGTTATGCCTGATTAGTGTATGTTCTTTGTTGTCAGTGTGAACTTATATGTAACCCATATTGCAGCAGATTTACTAACGTTATGCGCAAACTCCATTTTGGCAGTTAAAAAGTCTGTCATGTTTTACTAAATAGTAATAATAATGTGCTTTTGCCCCATTGTCATATGCATTTGTAGGAGTTTCCCTCTCAAAGAGCAAAATACACTGCCATGCATATCACATTATTTCTGAATTAATGAAGTAAATAAAATACGTAAAAATAAAAATTAATGTGTCTTTAGGGATGTACTGATACCATGTTTTGTCTACCGCTACCTGATCCCTAATTATCTGCCAAAACCAAGTATCGATATGGATACTAACTCTGACCTACTAGCCTACAAATCCTACTTTTGTAAAATTCAACCTCTATAATAAGTAATTCCGGAATTTCTGACATATTATGTAAAAAGAATGGTTTAATCTTACAAAATAATTTTGAATTAATCACATACTTTCTCGACTCATATTCATTTATTTTGATTTTGTCATTGTTGAAAAATTATTTCGACGTAATCAGTCACAGTTTGAACCTCAAACACGAGACTGTGAAGTCTTTTCTCAAACTTTCAATGAATGAAAAGCATGTGAGCCTAATGTGATTATATTGCTAGTTAGTAGATAACTAAATTGGCCACCAGCACATAATGTTGGTTTGGGTTATTATAACTAACAAAAATAATTACAAAAGTGAAGACTAGCAGTGAAAAAATGTGCTTTTAAGCTGTAATAAAAATATATATATATATATATGTATGTATGTCATTTTTTGTGATGGAGTCTATTTTTTATCTTTTTTTTTAGTACTATATGTATTGTCTAAAAGTAACAAACTGTAAAAAACCTTGTTAACTAATTAACAAGATTAATTATTTGCTTGTTAGTTTCTCTTCTTGTTACTTGAGTTACTTTGTTATTTTCTTGAGTGCCTTGCTCTCCCTTCGCTGCTGTAACACTGAGAATTTCCCTGTTGTAGGACTAATAAAGGATTATCTTATCTTTTCTTAAGGTCCACTGCAAAACTAGCAAAAATGAAATAGAATTACTGAGAATAAAACCTTTAGTATTAGATTTTCAGGGGGAGTTTAGAAGTGGATCCCTTCTGTGTTCTGCATCTTTAAGGAAAGCTGGCGCTGAGCTGAGCTCAGTCTGCTGTTGAGTTCATTTTACTCTTATCAAATACCTGCTGTCACAGTGTTCATCATAACAAAACCGAAACTAAATAAAAACAAACCTAAAACTGTTACTTTCCAGAAAATAAAAACCAAGCTAAACTATGAATGCACCCTTAAAACTAGCTAAAACTAAACGGAAATTAAAAAACAAAATAAAAAAAAATTTAATTGTAAGAACCGTAATAATGCTGGTGTCGGTAGACTCTCATTTAGCGCCTCTCTTAGTAAAACTGCCCCATTGTCGTCACATGAAGTCCATCATTATGTTTAGTTCTCATGAGTGTTGTTTGCTGTGTCATTATTTGTTCTGTCAGTTCACCTTACCTTCCCCCCCGTGATCACTGTGTTAAAGCATCTTCAGCCAGATATAGTCGATCGGCCAAGATTCGTTTTATGTCCAAAGTTTGCTTCTTTAGTTGTGTATTGGAGCAGATTTTTAGCTGCATTGGGTACAAAACTTGAAGCAAACGTGTCTTGACTGATTGGCTATGTTCAGGTTTTGATTTTTGGCCAAACCATCGTGTTTACCTTTATTTTATTTTTTTCCACATCCCTCTTGTTCTTCTCTCCTCTGTGTCCGATGCGCTCAGACCGATGAGGAGAGACAGCAGGCTCTGCAGGCGTTCTCTGCCCAGACGGCCTTTTCAAGTTCAGGCTCATCTCTGCCGTCTGACCCTTCTCCTCACGGCCACTCGGAGCTCAGGCCAAAAGTCAAGAAGGTTCTCCGCAAGAACCAGAATGAGAAGTACAGGCTCAAGTACCTCCGTCTGCGCAAGGCTGCTCGCGCCATGATCTTTGTGAGTAGCTTTGCAGATAGTTTGAATGTTCAGGAATGCAGTGCCATTACAGTACCTGTCAAAAATTTGGACTTGGCCCATACGCTGCCACAAGACACCTGGGTCATTCTACAGAAACGTCCACTTTTCCATAGGAGTCACTGGTGTTACTGATCCTCTTTGGTGTTACACATAATAAAGGAAACACCAAGACATTTTTAATGAAAAATACATTTTATAACTGGCTGCTACAGAGCATCAAACCACATGTTGTCAATCATGGAATATCCACTAAAATATGGAATTTAATCCATTTGTATTCTATTTTATCACAGTTACCTCAGAATAAAGTCGGTCACACCAGTGACTTCAGCTAAAAGCTTCATATGAAATCATGAGCTAAATGAGAAAATCTCTGATAACTGAAAGACACAGTGGACTCACCATGTGCTTTTCTTCATAGATCCTCAGAAAACAGGTAAAAGGAAGTCGTGACGTCATCAGTGTGATTTTTTATTGCAAAATAAGAGATTTTTTGTTACACAGTAACACCAGTGACACGACTCCTGGGAACCACAACTCTCATTATATATTGTATAATATTTATTAGGCATTTGTTTTCTTTATGTCATTTAAGTCATATATTTCATAGTCATGTATAGATTATTGAAGTTAAAATTGCAGAAAAAATTGTTTTTTACTTCAAAATATGGCCTCAGCCTTCACACATGACTGTGAAGACGAGTTCTTCTGTGGTGCTTGGAATTCTATATGATTGATTTAAAAACCAGTATTGCTAAATTGATGACTGAAGAAGTTGTGATTGTTAAAATACCATATTGTTTTTTCTTAAGTGTAATATATCTGTAAACACTAGAGACACAAAAATGGACATTTCTGTAGAATGACCCATATTTATAAAAGCCCCGAATCCCAGTAGCTTATAAGGAAATAAAAATCTAGTGCACTTTAATTGAAATTAATTAACCTGTTATATTTCCAACTGTGGAAATTCTAACAGTGCAGAAAATATATGCAATCTTAAGTTATTTTTAAGATCTGATTTTTCCCTGTTATGCTATGTAGGAAAACGCAGCCCTGTGCGATGAAGTTGCTCACTTGGAGGAGAAGTTTGTTCGGGCGAAAGAGGAGAGGAGGTGAGTAACGTTTCTCAGGCGGTGCAGTGGGGTGGGAGTGGAAGTCTTTAAGAATGCCGTGCAACAAAGCACACTGTGTGTTGTCAGCCATGCTCAACTAAGTGTTCCCAGAAAATGTAGATAACAAAGCAGATATGTTATGTTGTCTCATATCAGAACTACAGAATTGGTTTTGACAAGACTTTGCAAATAAGGCATAACCTCCATCTCATCCTATTGAGCAATAATGTTTGGATTATCGTGTCTGTATTAGGTCAGTGTTTTTCTTCAACTTGTGACATACTAAAAGCACCCAGGGACCTGCTGGCATTATCAGCTTAGGAAAAGGAAGCAACACGTTTGGAAAAGAAATCGTGTTTTTCCCTGGCTGTTTGTTGTTTTTCTGTGCTTGGGCTTGTACAGTACCGAATGACCTGTGCCACTTCCATTTTCAATAGCACAAGCCTGTGCTTGACTCATTGACGTGGGGCAGAGCACCGTAGAGATTAGGGCTGAGCGATATGGGGAAAATATCGAATTGCCAATTTTCGGACTAATATTGCGACTGCAATTTAAATGGCGATTTTTTTATAAATGGTGATTCCGGCCTGATTTATTTTGGCCAGGAAGACCAGAATATCCACCTTGTCTGGCCTGAGGCTCGACCCCTGAACGCAGCATGCTGAACTGCCAGTAAGTTGTGGTTGTGATGTCACAACGCATGGAGGTTTGGTTGCCTCTGATTGGTCTAACTCGTCTGCAGGCACTTCACGAACTCTTATTAGGTTCAGTTTCCCCTCTGTAAACTTAAAACCTTTTTGCTAATGCACACACTTAAAAACGATTCTTCAAGGGTTCTTTAGTCAAGACAATGGTTCTATATAGAACCATAAACACTCAACAGCCCATTTGCATGCTTAAAAATGGTTCTTCTGATTGATGGAGAATGTGTTGTGTATGGTTCTATATAGCACCAAAATGTTCTTCTGTTGTTACAAGTCTGACATCATAACATTTTTTGGTTTTTGGTTCAATCTAGAACCCTATACAACACATTCCCCATCAGTCTTAAGAACCATTTCACCATGCAAAGAACGTTTTAAGCATGCAAATGGGCCATTGAGTGTTCTTGGTTCTATATTGAATGACTGTTTTTACTAAAGAACCTCTTTCTGAAGAACCTTTATTAAGACTGTAGGCTATAATTAAAAAAAAAAAAGATTGCAGCTAATGCGATTTGAAAATTGCGCCGTCTTAAATTGCGATTTTAAAAACAATTATTCTTTCAGCCCTAGTAGAGATGAACATTTTCCCTCCTCTTACACTCTGAATGCAGCTCAGCCCTGCAGAATTGGCTCATGAGTTGAGTCAGGTGTGTTTAATTAGGCAGAACGCTGACATCTGCAGTGGAGCGGCTCATTAAGACGAGAGCCTGACGCCTGTGGCTCGTAGCAAAGATCCGTTATAAGGTGGGGCTGGATATGACTGTATTTACTGTTATCGGAATAAAGTACCTCACAGTAACAGTTTGCTTTTCATGGGTGTCAGCAGTTTAAGAAAACCACAAAAGCATGTTTGATTACTAAAAGGAGAAGTATTGTCATGTTTACTTGGATTTGGTGTGTCATAGCTTGTGAAATCTTGTGAAAACATGCATATGTTTATAGTTTTTGACAGTATTTTCAAAATGTGGCTCTACCTTGTTCCAACTTATCTGATGTCTGAAAAATAAATATTGTGACAGTGATGCACAATATTGTGTATCTTAAAGTGGTGTGATGTTAGACTTTTGCCTGATCATTCATCTCTAATAGAAGGTAAACTAAACCAGCAGATTCAAGTCAATGAGGCGAGATGCGATATAGTTCCTATATTCTTAAAGTCTTGCAGTCTTGTATCATCCACTTCATCCCTTCCTGTGTCTCCCAGGGCAACAACAAAAGAGTAACAAAAATATAGTTGTGTTTTTTTTTTTGTTTGTGTTTTGTTTTTTGTTTTTTTGTCTCCTTTAAAATCCTCAAAAATGCTTGTTGAGGCTCAAAATAGTCACAAGGCCCTGACAATCACAAAAATGGCCACAGTTTTGCTGTATTCATTAAGATGGGCCAAATTAGTTGCTAGAATTTAGTTAAATGGCTTAAATCTTTTAATTCCTACTGCTGTGAATGGTCTTCTGTGGCTGTAGCAGCTTACTTAATAATAATAATAATAATAATAATAATAATAATTTTTGTTTATAAAGCACTTTTCATACCGGTAGCAGCTCAAAGTGCTTTACAGACAGATGATAAAAAACATATAAGAAATTGTAAATTATACAAGAAATTATAAGTATTAATTTAGAATCATAAGAAAATGACACAGATCAAATTAAAAGATAAAACCCACGAGACGTAGAGTTTTAATTTAAAGTTAAAGAGAAACGTTTTCAGATGTTCATTAAAAGTGAACGAGTCTCTCCACTTTTTCTGTATTTTACAGAAGGTCAGTATCTGCAGATCTTAGATTACGTGCTGGACCATAAACAGACAGACACTCTGTGATGTAAGCAGAGCTTACAGGTCATTTTGAGCTTTAAAAACTAGCAGCAGAGCTTTAAAATCTATCCTGAATGATACAGACAGCCGGTGCAGCTCTTTTAAAACAGGAGTGATCTGATCTCTTTGTTTTGTTTTTGTTAGGAAGCCTATCTGACTGTTGCTTTTTAAAGTTCCATTGTAAATGATTGTTATATTAAACATCCAATAATGTTTGAATGAAGAAACCAAGATGGTATAAAATTGCTCATCAGACTCTGGGAGAACCGTCAGGCCTTGGCCCTAAAACTCTGATAAGCGTGTGGGATTGGCCACCCACAGCTCATATCCTGCCACAGCCCTGAAGCAGAACTAAACACAACGGTGCGAGCGAAGTGAAAGGAGTGAAATAGGCTTCTGATTACTCTGCCGTGACCGCAGCTCACTGAACATATTACCACCACCACGTCAGTGTTACTGCAGTGCTGAGAATGACCCACCACCCATACAGTACCTGCTCTGTGAGGGTCCATGGGGGTCCTGACCACTGAAGAACAGGGTAAAAGGGGGCTAACAAAGTATGGAGAGAAACAGATGGACTACAGTCTGTAACTGTAGAACTACAAAGTGCACCTATATAGTAAGTGGAGCTGATAAAATGGACAATGAGCATAGAAACAAGGAGGTGGTCATAATGTTATGCCTGATCAGTGTATGTTGTGTGTCCACAAGAGCAAGATTAACCCAATTAGAAAGAAAACATGATGCTCCTGAGTGGCGCAACTGTCCAAGTGTTGGCCCCATCATCAGGGGCCAGTATTTCAAATAATCAGGATTAGGGATGCACCGAAATGAAATTTTTTGACCGGAAACCGAACAAAATAAAACATTTGGCTAAAGGCCAAATACCGAATACGGAACACGGTTTTTTCACAGTGTTCCTTTAATTTTGCCACTTTTTTTCACCATTGCATAAATTAAATAGGCTAAATGTATTTTTGTCTTGGTTTTCAAAGAAAAAACAATAACTAAACTGCAATTTAAAAATATTTATTGAGCACTGAAAGTTTTAACATCCCAGCAGACATACTAACAAAGCACAATGACAAATAAATTAGCAAATCGTAAAGGTAAAAATAAAATATCAATATGACTTAAATAAATTAGTAAAACAAAATTTGCGTCCTTCAAAAAATACAGTATGACCATTTTACTTAACATAAATAAGTTAAGATGTACCCTGACAATTCAGCAGAAAAATGTCTGCAAATGGCCATTCTCGAGTCTCTGACTCTTTAAAATGTTTCCACACAGCCAACATGTTGGCTGCATTTACAAAGAGTGCCTCGCTCCACACTCATAGCCTTTGTTGGGGTTTGTGTTTTTTTAAGGAGGTTGTGGCACTGAGAGAAAGAGCGTGAGAGAGAGGCGGAGGTTATATTTGGCTCGAATGCTTTAAACTGAATAAAAGCTGGGAAACTTCAGCTCCGGTGTGACTCGCTGGGTTAAAATAACATGTTAAAGTGGGTTATTAGCCTAGAGCAGTTGGCTCAAGCCCTGGAGCTGAGGAGTAAAAGTTCCACTCCGAACTAGAAAAATAGCGTCATTAAAAACGTCATTGTTCGGTAGAAATTATTTGGTCTTTTCACTTAATCCATTTTTTCCATTTCATGCAAATTTAATGGCCAAAAAGTTTTCTAATCTTATCTTATTTGATTATCCTGACTACGGATGCACCAAATATTCGGCAACCGAAATTATTCAGCCGAAAATGGCAAAAAAAAAAAAACATTTTCGGTGTTCGGCCGAATAATTTCTTTATATAAACTTTATTTTCCATTAAATTCGCATTAAATAAAAATTTGTCTTTGGCAATCTGCCATATAAATACATAGACATATATTTAAAGCACTTAAAAACACTTACAGCAACAGCTCATGAACTATGCCGGGGGTGTTATTTATTATGTCCATATTCAGAATGCTCACTAACCCGCTCTTTCTGGCCAGTGGGACCTTAAATCTCCTGCCCGATGGCAGCAACTGGAACGATGAACCTTGAACCTGGGCCAGTTTGTTTCTTTGCTTGATTCCACTTTTAAATCCACCTTTTTCCCATAAAGGATTAAAATAATCTCTCAGATTTTGTCCCAGTTTTTCAAAACATTTTCAGACTGGGTAAAGTTTAGTACCAGGATTTCTAGATCTGGAATTTATTTGCTTTTTAGATCCCTTTATGTGGCCATCTGCTGGACAAATTATGTTAAAGCATTTTTCTGTTAATGAAAAAGAGGTATAATTAATGAACCACTCTAAGGTAGAAAATACTTTTATTCACCATCTGCACCCTGAAGAATTACAGTCTATATTAAGAGACATTGTAAACATGAAACACAAAACACAAAAACACAATTTTTCAGTGATCATTTGAGAAATAAAGGTTCAGCACAGCAGTCCTCATAGCCTATCCAGTGTCCATCAGGCTGCAGTGGTGGTAGTGGGAAGCCCCTGTCTTGGCGCTGAGGAGGAGCCCACTGTTCATCACTGTAGAGAGGGGCTTTGTGTTTGTACTATACTGTGAAGAACAGTGCAGGCACAGATGATGTTGCATGCGTGCTTTGGCTCAACACGTAGTAGTTCAAGCAAGCAAGGTGGCTCTTCCGGACCCCATTTAAATGCTTAGTTGTTGCTCTTTCTGTTGCATGGGCTCTGTTAAATCTCAGCTCTGCGTCTGTGTTAACTGTTGCAAAAGATGTCATTCACTGTCACTATGTACAGAGTGATTCAAAAAGATTCAAAGCACCATATTTCTACGACCGTGAGGCGCCTAGGAACCAATCACATACCAATTGAAAGAGGGGGTCATAGAGTTTCTGACTGTCAGTGGAAGATGGCTCCCCTCAGTCTGTGAGGAGATGAGACCCCTGAGCAGAAAGCGTTCTGCATTCTCCACTTCAATAAGAGTGAATCCGTCATAACTGTGCAGTGTGATTTTCGTCAGCAGTGAAGCTCCAACAGCTCAGAGGTCGTTGGTTCCACAACACTGGATAATCTCTGAAATCGCACTGAAAGAGCCGTGAGTGCAGCGACACCCGACATGCTCAATCCAGTATGGGATGAATTTGACTATGGCGTTGATGTTGTCCGTACAGCTGGAGGAGGTTCATACTGAGACCGTGTACAACTACATAATAAACTTTATGCTCATTTAAACCATTTACAGTTTACTGCATTGATCTGTAATGATTTACAAGAGAAATCAATCATTTTGAAATCAGATTAATCGTTTTTGAATCTGTATGATACCATCTGGGGGGGTTTGCTGTCCTTAAGGATTCATGCATTATGTACTGATCCAGGCCACCTTACAACACAGTTTGTAATAATTAGGTCAGCATCTCCCATAAATTGAACATTAATGCTGTGTCGGTCCGTTTTGTTCATGAACTGCCGTTCTCTATTATGGGGTGCCTGAATGTGGACATTGGTACAGTCTATCACAGTCTGTGTTCTGGATTTTCAGGAAATGCAGCAAACTGATTCAGAAGATTGGACAGAGTAGATGAGACTCTATGAATGACCATACATACCGTGGGTTTTGAGACATACATACATGTCCAATAACTTGGACATGTATGTATGTACTGTAAGTTCACAGTGCAGTAATCTGTGTTTTATATTCTGTCAACCAAAGCATTTGAAGATCAGTTAATCTAGAATTTTAAGGTGGCTTGGACACCAAGTTAAAAACACCAACTTTACAGTATAAGATTAAGTTATGGTTTTATAAGTGTGAGTGTTTTAAATCAGTTTTAGGGAACTCTGGTTTATTTTCAAGTAATTTCTGTACAAAGTGTGTCCTCAACACTGTCATTGCAGCTTGAATCCACCTCTCAAGGTGGGATAAAAATCATCCTGTTATTTGGTATTAAAGGTATCCAAGATTTCTGCGTAAAGTTTTGAAATACCCAGTTGTAGCATTTTTAATCCTGCACAAAGGTTCGACTGGATTATTAAATCCAGATCTAAATCTTCAGGATCGAAAAACTTATCCGTTTTGAAAAACTCATTTTTTCAAGTTTAATCCAACTGGATTGCTTTAATTTTGTCACATAAATTTTGGAAAACCGGCTCCAGGAGATTGCTAGGTCAATCCCTGGTGATGCTATAGCCATCCGTGGCCGGGAGTCCAAGAGAGCACAACTGGCCAGATGCGGTAGCTTCACATAACTCAGAGGAAGCTTGTGTTTGCCTTTGCCCTCCTGGTGTTGGTGTTACTGGGTGACTGGGGAAGTCCCAACTAGTGGGTGGGGTTAAATATGACTAAATTGGGGAGAAAATTGGAAAAACAAAACATGGATTTAGAATCCCTGGAGCTTTAAGCCAAGAGATTTACCATTAGATAAGCCCAGTGTATCATGTACACCTATCTTGCAACTACACTCACTGACCTTGTTATCAGCTGCAGCCACCATATAGGTGCATTTTGCATGTTTACAGTTACTGACTGTAGCCTGTTTGTTACTGTAAGACTTATCACAACTCCCTCTACCTCATCCATCGATGGAAAGAGATAAGACCACACTGTTATCGCAAAATGTGCTTGGAAAAGATGAGCTGTAGTCTCGAACGGTGCCCCGAGGGTTCCTGAGAATCCTTATGAATTGTCACAGTGGATTTTCACGAAATGTCTGAAAAATACTTATTTTATGTTTTTGAAGGCCCCATGTCCTATGTTTTTCTTGTGTTTTTATCTTTTTCCTTGAAAACAGTCATAATTCATGTTTACTAGACCTTTTTCAAACCTCTCTTTATCCTTTGGAATTAAAGAGACTGTTTTTTTTTACTGTGCTTGTAATTTATCTAAACAGCCCCTGTTTAGCTTCACTGCTCTGTTTTGTGCTGGATTTAAAAAGCACTCCAGACAGACTCGACTCCATGTTGGTTTTTGTCGCAGCATTAAATTACCATTATTTTATATTATAAGATGATGCCTAAAAAACCATGCTGCACTAGGATATGTATATTCAGTGACGTTGGACCAGTCAGCAAACCAAAAATGTTGAGCTGACTGCAGTGCTGTGATCAGAAACTGACTGCTGAAGAAGGGCTGGAGGACGGTTGAACTGATAAACACACGGAAAAGGCAGAAATGAGTTAGCAGTTAGTGGAGCTGCGTAAGGAAATTAAAAACAGAACTAATAAGCTACGTCATGCACGTAATTGATCTCAAAGCATGTATCAGTGTTCTATTTTCAACCAGTCTTATTTGTAAACATCAGCACGTGCCATGTTTGAGTTTGTGTGCATTATATTGCATTTAAACAGCAGTCCTGACATTGCCAAGGTGTGCTAAGGTGGGTATGTCTAAAAGTTGACTGTAAAAACATGCACGGTTCAGTTGTCACTGTTTCCTCCAGGTTTTTACTGAAGACTCTACTGCAGTACCAGTCTCTGGCTGAAGGGGAGATGCTTTCAACTCCCAGCAACACTTCTCACACCCCTGCCACCTTCACTTCCAGTGCAACAGGGGCTGCCGTCATGCCGGCAGGCCAAACCCAGGGGCCTGGAGCCCCGGGGTCTGACGATGCTTTTTTGAAGAAACCCAAGAAAGAACGAAAAGAGCGTGGGAGGGAGAACGGAAGAGAGGAAGGTGAGTACATCAGAAATTGCATGTTGTCTAAAGCCGGAGCTGGTTAAGTTTTAGTAGGGCGGAATCTGTTTATATAGTTTGTGGGTTTTAAAGGCTTATTCATTCAGGAATCAAAACCCTCTTGATTGGGTAAAAATAGCATGATGGTAAAACATCTGTATTTAGGGACAGATAACCTAAATGAAAGACTGTAACAATCCATGTGGACACAAAGATCTGGACATCTGTGGTTTCTGAAGAAGTTTTTAATGTACATTTAATGTGGAAAACCTTGGGTTTGATAGAGACAGTTTCTTAAGACATATTGCAAGACCAAGATGCAAGAGAGAAAGAGAGACCAGCACAGACAGCGAGAGGAAGGTAAATGAAACTAAATCAATGTGCAATTATCTCCTGATTTAGTATATATACAGGGTGATTAGAAGAGATTCATCTGATTTTAAAGCGCCATATTTTTACAACTGTGAGGCGCCTAGGAACCAATCACATACCAACTGAAAGAGGGGGCCATAGAGTTAAAAGAGCTGCAAAACGTTTTGTGGTTTGTCTCCACTGTTTTTAGGATGTACATAATGCTGCCCTGCTGTAGAGTGACTACCTGTGCCTCACCACAAGCATGTCAATGCATGAATGTCCTGTGCGTAGATATACATATCTAGATGCCGCGTTGTCTGTTGTTCTCTATCTGAGGTGATACGTCTGCGCGTCCACCATGTTGGAGCGGTCAAGATCCGCTTGTAAACAAATTCAGTTGTATTGATAGACGATGAGTCTCAGGATTAAATCAGCCACAACTTCCTTATTATTCAACCGATTTTCACCAAATTATTTTTGTTATAATCCTCAGACATACATTAATCTAGTCTGCACGGATCTGCTCTCGGTAGCTTTTATTACTTTAATAACTGATTGTGATAATTAGCTGTCCAGCAGGAAAGTATTCAGTCTGTACCTGACACAATCACACACATCAGCAAACCCATCAGTGTGTGAATCATTCTGATCTTAATACACGTAAAAATTAAATAAATGCCTGAATCTGCACCATTTAATATGGAACTAGAAAATTCGCACAAGAAGCTGGTAAATAAGAAGCTAATTTCAGCTTTGTGTAAGAAGGTGCTAACGTTAATCTATTATGAATATCTACACGGATTAAGGAACGCTATAACTTACAGCTTCAAAGCTTTAACCATCACTGTAAATAAATAACTACTACATAAAGTTAAGATCCCCCAAATAGACTATTAAATGATATAAGCTTAATATAAAACCAGAGGAAAAACAATCACATCAACAGGTTCTCTGTGCCTCATTAAACACACGCCAACATCTGCACATTAACACCACACAAACAACACGCATCACAAAAACATGAGTCTGTATCGCTGCGTTCCCTCTGTTATATAATCCTATCCCACTTTCTGAGTGTAATATTCTTGAAATAGTGTAATTTTGTACAGTATCTTTCTTAAACTGCCACTCTGTAATGGTACTGAATGCAGTCCAGTGGTGATGTTGACCGCCCCAAAATGGCAGCGCCATTGACGTGTCTGACTGGACCCAACGCGACATCTAGGTATGTATATCTATGGTTCTGTGCAAATGTGCAAACTGGACGTGCAGCTGGACAGGCACCCAGCTGGTAAATCTGATTAAAATCATATATCTCGTCAGTAATCATGCACATTACAGAGCCTCCCCAGGTAAAATGAATCCTGCTAGAATAGATCCTACTGTAAAAAGGTGAACTCAGTTGCTGCGTGTTACAGTGAGTTCTGGCTGTGTTTATTTTATTGTTCTCAGTGACGAAGAAGATGTCTAAGAAGAGGAAAGTGTCAGAAAGCGGGACGCGTAAGCTGGTTCAGCCCATCCCACTGGACTCTTCTGGCAGGCCGGTTTTCCCCATCATACTGGGTGGACTAACTGTTTACAGCCTAGGAGAGGTCAGTAATCAGCAAGGTCCTTTACGTATTAGGCATGGATGTGATTCAAGTCTGCTGAATGGGGGTGCACTGATATGAAATATTTTGGCCAATAATGAAAACTAATAATGAGCACCTTGTCGTGACCAGTACCACTGACCGTTTCACTTTTACAACAGTTTCACACTGTAATCCATATGAACTGCTGTGAGCATAAAGTTAAAACACTAAAGATACTAGCTGACTTGTATTCTTTAGGCCTCGGGGTCTCAAACTGAAATTACCTGGGGGGTCACTAGACAGATGGTGTTCTCCAAGGGGGGGCTGTCTGAAAATACAGGAGAAATAAAAACAAACAGTAAAATGTATACAGTGCTGTGAAAAAGTATTTGCCCCCTTCCCAATTTCTTTTATTTTTTGCATATTTGTCACACTTGAATGTTTTAAATATGCAAAAATAAAAGAAATTGGGATGGGGGCTAATACTTTTTCACAGCTCTGTGTATATTTTATTGTTTGTTTTTATTTCTCCTGTATTTTCAGGCAGCCCTCCTTGGAGAACACCACCTGTCTTCTTTTAACATTGGACAAAGATAACCCAAGTAACACGAAATGCTGTTTTTAAGTGATGAACTCATTTATTTAATTCTTTTACTTAGTGATACGTGACCCTATGTGAAAAAGTAATTGCCCCCCTAGCTGCTAAATTTTAGTTCAGTTAACCGAATTCATTTGTTAGTATAAAATAATTTGTATAAAAATAATACCAATGCAGAGAGTGTTTGATAGTCATTTTAGGTATATGGGACTCTTATTGTGATACCACTGGCATTCTTACTGAACGGGACTGAAGCTATCAATCAAAAGTAGTCACTGGTAAAAGAAATCTGCATTCTCAGTAGATTTGTTTAACACTTTTTAAGTAAGGCTATAGCTATTACAGCTATTAGAACCATGCTAGGCACTGTTTATGATGGTTTGTTTTTTGACAGGTTCCTCTTGCATACAGCACACTATGTTTGCTTTCAACAGACTGAAGTCCATCTTTTTCTCTACACTTTGTTAGCTGCTTTTTACCTTGTTCTTCAATGGCCAGGTCATCCCCCACACCTACCCTGTTTGTCCTACTTGTACATGTAAAGTCAAAGATGATCTGTTGCTGGTCTGTGATGGTCCTATGGGGTGATATATGTGTGGGTGTGTGTATATATATATATATATATATATATATATATGTATGTATATGTATATATGTGTGTGTGTATATATATAGATATACACCCATCAGGCATAACATTATGACCACCTCCTTGTTTCTACGCTCATTGTCCATTTTATCAGCTCCACTTACTATATAGGTGCACTTTGTAGTTCTACAGTTACAGACTGTAGTCCATCTGTTTCTCTGATACTTTGTTAGCCCCCTTTTACCCTGTTCTTCAGTGGTCAGGACCCCCATGGACCCTCACAGAGCAGGTACTATTTGGGTGGTGGATCATTCTCAGCACTGCAGTAACACTGACGTGGTGGTGGTGTGTTAGTGTGTGTTGTGCTGGTCTGAGTGGATCAGACACAGCAGTGCTGCTGGAGTTTTTAAACACCTCAGTGTCACTGCTGGACTGAGAATAGTCCACCAACCAAAAATATCTAGCCAACAGTGTCCTGTGGGCAGCGTCCTGTGACCACTGATGAAGGGACTAGAGGATGACCAACACAAACTGTGCAGCAGCAGATGAGCTATCGTCTCTGACTTTACATCTACAAGGTGGACTGACAAGGTAGGAGTGTCTACTAGAGTGGACAATGAGTGGACACAGTGGACACACTTCTATATAGATATATATATAAATTTAAAGACTGCAAAGCTTTTGTATCTGTGAATTTGCACACATCAGGGTACCGGAGCTATGAGTCTCTCCTTGTTTCCACTCAGGCTTCTTGTTATTTCTCAATACTCACCTGTTAGTAAATATTAGTAATCAGCAGTGTAACTGTGCCTTGGCATTTTTTGGATCTAAGAGAAAACAAATTCAGTCAGGACAACTTTGCTAGTTTAAGAGTGTGGTAGAAAGCTCACTTCTTTGCAAGTGCTGTCAAATAAATTTTTTTAAAATAGAATTAAAATATTGAGAATAGTCTGCCAGCCAAAAATATCTACCCGACAGTTGTCCTGTGGTCAACTGACCACTGATGAAGGACTAGATGACAGCAAAAGTGTTAAAGTCAAACACACTGGAAAAGAAATCTCCAAGCACATGCACATGGTTTTTTTCCCAACCAAATGCCATATTTTTTGTCATGTGGTGGAAATGGTGCTGAGGTCTTAAAAGATGTTAAAAAAGCATAGATTTTTCACAAAATTGTCCCAACCCTTTTTCTTCAGAAATCTCACACACAGTGTTTAAAATATCGATTGTTCACACACAGTCAGTCTAACATCAATTTGGCATAGAAACTGGGTGTCTCTTTGCAGTCATGGTTTTGTTCAGATGACTAACTGTGGTTGGAATAAATGATCTTTTGCCCTTTTGTCATTTTTTTTGGCCTGGTGCCCTAACACGTCGGCCATAGGGGAGAGGCTACAGTCTTCCTGTGCACAGCTCTGTCACGAGATCAGATGAATGCTATTGCTGTCTGCTTATTATTTTTCCAGCTGCTTTAAAAATTCAGAGGTCAGAGACCACTTATCAGTTATTTAATTTGCAGTCAAAATAGCCAGTAAGTACAAGTTATTCTGTTCAGCATTAAAAAACAACAGAATATGTATTTAACAGAACATTACACAGAAAACTACAACAACTAAATATATAATATCTGTTTTCTTAGTTTTGAGTTTTGTGCACTCTTGACCTTATATTGCAGTTTCCGTTCCTTCCGAGTATTTTTCTTTCGGTTTGTCCAGGAACTCTCCAGGGATATTTTTCTGGAGTTTCCTGATCTTTTTTCACTTATTTCCCTTTGGCTTTCCCCTTCCTTATGCAAATGGATTAGATTTTATCTCATCAGAAATATGTCCTAAAATGGATAAATGTAATGAACTAGATGGATAAAGTTTGTGAACAAACTTTAAGTTGGCTTTACAAAGCTGTTGCTATGAAATTCCAGGTGGCTGCTAAGGTAAAACAGTGCTACTGATTACAAAGTCTGAGTGGTTTTGAATTCATCACTAAAAAGAAGTTTATTCATTTATTGATAGGAATTTGAGAAAATTTAATCTCACTGGCCACAATGCTTAGTTCATAGGCTGGACTGTTTGAAAACCACATTAACCACTAGCTGTGTTTGTTCTTGCAGATCATCACAGATAGGGCTCACTTTCATGATGAAAATGCCATCTATCCTGTGGGCTTCTGCAGCACACGAGTGTTTGCCAGTATGAAGAACCCGGGGCAGCAGTGTCTCTATACCTGCCAGATAAAAGATGGTGGCCAGGGACCACAGGTATGTACACACACATCAGTACACATTCTTGTACATGTGCATAAATTTAATAGGCCCATATTATGAAAAATCCTCACTTTTTTGTAATAGCAGTTTGATGTAATCAGTTTGATGTAATATGTAAACAATGTTAAAGTTCTATAACTGAGGTCAATAATAGGCAGACCGTGGTCCGAGTCCGGACCCAGACGCTGTCCTATGTGGACCTGGACCTGTAACCGATAAACTATAGAGAATTATTTATTTTTGACGGAGTGGTCCTGTTTTAATCTGCGTAACTTTTCGAGCCTTTATGGTAGCTTTAGCGGCCCGCGAGACTCACAGTCCAATCACATGCGTTGTAAATATGACACGTGATGCTACTCAGCCAATCAGATCTGTGCATTACGATGAGCACTGAGACTCGAGTGAGTGACACACAGGGGAGGGACAAGGCGAGAAACAGCAGAAAGTGAGTCAGAGGGAAGTTATTTCACATGGCACACTCTAAAAAGAGAAATCTGACATTAAATGTTGTTGAAATATGACTGAATTGTACTTTATTTGATTTGACATTCAGTTGTTGACTGTATAAGATGTTGATATACCTACTAGGCTACTTCAGTAAACAGTACATGGCACTGAATCATGATGCAAGTTAGACATTATGGTGTTCTGGACCTTCGCTTGAGGATATTTTCTCTAACAGGACCTTATTGAATTTTAATTAAAGACCCCTGGTTTGGACTCTTGAGTTAGGAGTGGCCTATATGGAAAAAAGTATCATATCATGATACGTAAAGAAATTTTCATGATACACATCAGTGTTTTGAAAGACAGACACAATGCTCCAGTACTGGCACACTCAAAAGCTGCTGTCAAAAACTTGGATACGCTCTGAGTGCGTTTTTTATTCAACGTTTTACATACTGCATCAAATTAAACAGCCCTTATTATGTTTTCAATTAAACATGCAGTAGGTTAGTGTTCATGAAGTACTGCTGATGATCAGAAAAATGTGATATAACACTATGTTGAATATGTTTCATTTTGAAGACCACTTTAAAAGTACACTTTCAAAACCAGTTTAATTCATATGTCGCATCAAGTGAACATCATAAGGAATTTTTTTTCCCATTTCAGTTTGAGATTGTGCCTGAAGATGACCCACAGAATGCCATCGCGGCTTCATCAGCTCAGAGCTGCCACACAGACCTGCTGAAAGCCATCACTGCCAAGAGGTAAACATCTAATGCTAATACATAAACCATTTGGCAGGGCAGTGGCTAAAGTGCACTGCATTATACACATGAAGGCTTGTTTATTGGTCAGATATTTACAGGCGTTAAAGTGTTACTCTCACATTTGCCACCATTCGAGCCCAAACTCCTACTCCATATGAAGAGAGACACTTAGGCTACGTTTACACAGCAGGTAAAAGTGTCCCAAATCTGATCTTTTTCTCCGTATGTGACACAGATGTGTCATCTATGTGGCTGTGTGTGGACAGCAAAAACACATTGAATCTGATATTTTCAATCCCGATTTGAGACGCTTTCATATGTGGTACTGAAATCCGACACGTATCCGCAATGCGACTCAGTCTGAACAGCCAGATCGAAATTCATGCGACTTTTACGTCAGTTCAACTCGACATTCCTCATAATTTCGCGCTGCTGAGACTCATAAACATTTAGGCTGATGTTCCTGTACCAAAAAATGAGAAGAGACGTATTGCAGCCGCTCTGTGTTCAAAGAGGTTTTGAACGAAACGGCCGAACGCGGCCAGAGGAGCCTGAGGCTGCAGGGCCAGAGAACAGTTTAAAGAATCCGAGGACACGAACCAAAGAAGTGGCCGTGGCAGAATAACGAGCCCTTTTTACGGCGAACTCGAACAGATTCTGGGTGATGAGTCCAGCTGTCAACCATTGGAACTTTATAATCGCTCCTGTGATGCTGGTGAAGACGAAAACTGAAGCTCCGGGAGCGACTGGCGTTCACTGGCCATCATGATTGTTTACCTCTGGACGAGCCACGTGAAGCTCTGTTCTTTTGCACATTCGGGTCAGTTTAGGAGCTGATCTGTTCAGACTGATGTCACATGTCAAATGTGAACAGCCAAACAAAAAAATCGGATTTGATGTGAAAATCAGATTTGGGCCACTTTTACCTGCTGTGTAAATGTAGCCTTAATGTTTGTGTATCACAGTCAAAGCAATTATAATAAAGCTTACTTGAACCAGTGTAACCAGTCAGGTTGCTGGTGTAGTACATTCCGCGATCCATGAGCAGCAATATCACCAGACCTTGATCCCAATTCTCAGTTTTTGGAACAGCAGGTGAAATGCTGAAATAGACTTCACATGGTTTTTGGGCTAAAATAGGACAGAAAATCTCAGAGACTGATGTGATCTTTATTCAACAAGATACTGTTTGAAAAGAAATGATGCCTGTGACTAATTACTGTTTATTCGCTGAATTTAACTTAACTGAGGAAAATGAAGCATAAAATGCAGCCTATGCGAATGTTATGGCATATTTTATATATTGTTAGTTTTTCCCCCAGTCTCTTAAACTTGGTAAATAAACAAAAATTGTGCGCTAACTTTAGCAGGAAAATGGCATATTAAATTTATTCCCTTATTTCCACATAAAAATCAGTAAAACCTGTAGTTCATGGGGTGTTAAAACTGTTGCGTGAAACTGTATGAGGGCTCCAAACCGCTTCAGAACAGAACTCATACAGAATTGTACCCCAATAAGAAGTTATTATGTATGTCTCACCTCCATGCTCTCATTGATCAAAAGCAGTCTCTGGGATTTTATTTGAGGGATAATTTTAATAGATATGGATAATGGATAATCCTGAGAGCTGAATGAAAGAGGTGGCCAAAGCTACATTATGGCTTTTCCATCCCCCTTTGACTGTCATGGCTGTCCAGTTCATGGAAGAATCAGTCAACTGGACATATTCTAAACAATTTCTCAGCATACATTTCATTATGATAGAGTATGTTAAATAACCAGGCAAACTGGTCTTTGCTATCATAACAACCTGTGGTAAATAATTATGGGATTTCTGAATTATATGAGCAAATGACTGAAATAGTAAAGGCTGTGTGTGTAAATGTGTTTATCAATGGCAGAACTGCCAGGTCTTACACATTTTCAGACATATATAATATTGTAACATTAATAATATATTATACAACAGTTAGTTCCGGCCACGCAAGCTGATTGGTTGAGAGGTGTTCTAACTGTGTTGTTATTTCACCATAACATCACAGGTTTTTCACAAACACTGTATCACTCCGCTAAGACGCTGTTGCTAAGCGACGACTTTGACAGCTGTAGGAGACGCTCAAGCCATTTGAACGTTTTTACTTCTTACTTTGCCACAAACAGAAAATGGACACTTTTAAGATCACATTTGACCAACAGCCAATTTGGTCAGACTCTGAAGATGAGACGACACTAAATTCCCAAACTGTCATCACCACTGAGCAGCTTTTCAGTCAGCAGCTGTGACAGATAAACAACCTGGAATCGGCCAGAAATGAATCCAATACCATTCGCCAAAGGTGTAGTCTGATCTTCAGAGTCTGACCAAATCAGACTGAGCCATAAAAACCAAAAAAGCTGCTCAGTGCTGATGACAGTTTGGGAATTTAGTGTAAGGAGCTGAAGAACGAACTGCTGGCTGAGCAGTGAGTGGGCGGAGCTCGTTACTCTGACGTAGCAACAAGCTGCTTGTTAAGGAACTATAATTTAGTGAAGGAACTGCGAACATTAAAACATATTAAACGCCGCGTTCACGGCCCAGATTATTAATTTCTTACTGTATTTATTTAAGTGTTGTATAAAAGCAATAGAACACTCGAGGAGTGTGTTATCGCCAATAACATCACAGCTGTGATGATCTACGGCGACCAAATCACAGCCGTGATGTTATTTTGCGATAACACACTCCCTCTCGTGTTCTATTGCTTAAATATTATTTTGGAGATGGAAGGCAAGATCAGCAGCATTAACATATGTGTTTAACAGGGGCCTGCCCTTGACCAACATCGTCCCGTCTGGTGCAGACTTCTTTGGTTTCTCTCACCCAACCATTCAGAACCTGATTCAGAGCTGCCCTGGAGCTCGCAAGTGCAGCAGGTGAGTGAACATATATGTGCATTTCATGCTGTATAATGATGTCATTTTAAAGTGGAAACTCAAAACATACAGTTTAGACATTTTCAACATGTTTAGACATAGATATCAAATCTTAATTTAAACAATGTTGATAGATAAAGGTGATGTAATTTAACAGGTAATACTTAAAATTAACATTTGCCCCCTAATATAATTGAAATGAACAGAAATGCAGTTTTCCTATGTGGAAAAAGTAAGTACACCTCTGCATATATCACTACTTCATATGTGTCCAGTTGAAATCTGGTGCACCTGATCAGGTGCTAATGGTCAGTACACTGTTAGACACCATCTTGGAGAAGCCTCAGATATCTGGTCTGGTTCGCTCTTTGTTATTAGATTGTGTGGTTTGATCATTCCTAAATCAAAAGAGCACTTTGAAGCCTGGATCTGGGATGGAGATTAAGAAAATTTCCAAAATATTGGAAAGCAATTATTCTATTGTCCGGTAGATCATCTGTAAGTGGAGTAAATCCAAAACCACTGCCACCTTGTCCAGCCCAACTTAACCCAAGAGCAGACCAGTAACTCTTGCCACTGTTGTTTTCAAAGTGCATGCGTCTACCATTAGGATGGGTGGGAGGTGCACAAGGAGGAAACCTTTGCTGTTGGAAAAGATTATCAGGGCAAGACTAACGTTTGCTAATAAGTATCTTTTCAAGGACCTGGGGCCGCATTACAGAAACTTCCTATCTTTTTGTCTTGACTTAAGATCTGCAAGGTCGAGAAGATTTTTCATGAATTCGTATTTTAGAAGCAAATCTTACCTTGATTTAGGAATCTTATCTTACAGCATCTTATCTCAAGTTAAGAAATCTTAACTTACTCGATTGAAGGCGACAACAGTCCATGCACACACAACTGAAACGTAAACACATAAAGTAATCATGTTAGTTAGCCAGACAGCCAACATTAGCTACCGTTACTGATTTAAAAAGGTCAAACAAAATTAAAGTTATATAAACTTAAAGTTAATAACATTGTGTCAGCGCTTTGTGCTGTTTATCAGTGTCGCTGTCTCCAGTTTCAGTCTCCATTTCCCAAGCGCTTTAGCCGAGCGTGCTAACGTTATTCCTCCTAATAAACAGACACACGTTCAGCTCCTCATTATTCACCACCATCACCACTGTAATATTTCCTGTTGTAATATTTCCAAATGTATAATCAACATTAACACATGAAAGTAGTAAGAGGGAGTTAATGATGAGATTATGAACTTAGAAACTATTGTTCTGTAATAGCTTCCATCCTGAATTCAGTCCAAACTATGGTGAGTAAGCAGATAAAATTTCAGACTGAAGAAGTTTCTGTAACACGGCCCCAGGACTTCTGAAAGAATGTGCTATGGACAGATGAGTCAGAGATAGAGTTCTTTGGCCAAAGTGAAGGAAGCAGTGTTTGATGAAAACCAAAGACAGCTTCGATTAGAAGAGCCCCAACAGTAAAGCATGGTGGTGGAAGTGTCATGGCTTGGGTCTGTCTGCAGCCTCAGAGCCTGGCCAACTTGCCATCGACTAAGAATTCTCTTTCAGAGTGCTTGAGGAAAATGTGAGGCCATCTGTCAAAAAGTTGAAGCTGAAGAAGTGGAGCTTCAAACAGAATAAGGATCCCAAGCATACATGTAATTCTAACAAGATTGAGGGTTATGCAATATCTAGTCAGAGCCCAGATCTGAATCCCATGTGTGTCCAGTTGAAACGGGCTGCCATGCAGGAAAAGTTCCACAGTTGAAAGAATCCTGCTTGGAGATGTGGGAAACATTTTTCTCAGTAGATGCCAGAAACTGGTAGACAGTTGTAGAAAATGCTTACTTAGTCGATTATCGAAAGGGGGACAGTAGCAGTTACTGAAGCCAGGGGAACATTTACATTCACAGAAATGACCTCTATTAATTGTTTTTTAAAAAATGATTGCAGAATTAATGTTTGCTTTTGATCTATTACACAACGCTTATCTGTCTTTCTGTGTCTATCTATCTATCTATCTATCTATCTATCTGTCTGTCTGTCTGTCTATCTATCTGTCTGTCTGTTTGTCTGCCTCTGTTTATCTATCTATCTATCCTTTTGTCTGTCTGTCTGTCTATCTCTGTCTATCTACCTGTCTATCTATCTGTTTGTCTGTCAATCTGTTTGTCTGTCTGTCTGTCTATCTATACTGTTAAACTGAAAATACTGATATTTTTCATGTGGTCTACTTTCTTCACATGACTGTATTTTTCCAGAGTTGTTTAAATCTGTTTTTGTTTCTGCCTGACTGTCTTTAGTTATAACTGGGTGCGGTTTGAAGTTTGCCGACCAAGTGAAGGACAGGCCACACACACAGTGTCTGAGGAGGATGCGACAGTGAACTTCGAAGCTTTCCAACGCCTGCTGGGTTGCGAGGAAGGCTTGGCTAATCAGAACCTTACTGGGGACCAGAGCGGTACAGGTCAGACAATCAGAGATTTAGAGTAGTGCGACATAACAAAGCTCTGGAAGTTGTATCCTGATACTGGTACATAGCAAGAGTCACAGCCAAGAGCTATTTCTCTTTGCCCAGGGTCTGGACATTCATAAGTAACTAATATTATCTAGACGATTTGCCCCAATAACTGTCTGTAATCTAACATCTTCAAAAAGAATTAAAAGAGTCAAAGAATATCAACAAAAATGAAAAAGGATAAAAAAGAATGAAAAAGACTTCAGCTCAGTTCTTGTGGAAGGAAGGAAAAGGCCTTTGCTTTATTAAGCATCAAAGGGCAAGATGGTTCCTGGTCAACCACAATGAGAATATCATCTCAGAACATCCCTTTTTATCGCCCTCTGGGGTGATGAGGAAATCTCCCCACCCCTTTTACACAATTCATGTTAGTCCCCATCATGTCCAAACCTTACACTTTTTTTTGGTAATCTTTAAAACCAAATGTGTATGATGTCTTTTTTTTTAAAAAACCCACTCTGGTCTGACTCTTACCGGACTGTTCTCTCCTTACAGGGCCCTCTTGCTCAGCTCTCCATAGGGCATCTTACACAACCCTCCATATACGTACAAAAGTGGACCTCAGCTATAACCTATACTAATCATACACTAGAAGACTTTGAAAAGACTTTTGAGAGACTAAAGTCTAGGAGTTTCTAAGATTCCAAAGACTACGAATCTTGCAGTGTCACTATTTACAAGACTGCAACTAGATTTTTGTGCATGATACAAGCAGATAAACACTTTCTTTCCACTCTATAGTGGTACAGATGGGAAAATATGTTGGCTGGGTGGGTAAAGATCAGGGGCTCAGTCCAGTTCACTGTAGAACTGTATATTCTGGCAGATCATCACCTAGAATCTTTTTATTAACCTGTAAAATGTGCAGTTACTTTTTATATTTGATATATAGATGTACACATCAACAAAACATGCAGTGATTCAGCATCGTTGATTGGGTGTCATGAACTAAACCATAAAAAACAAACAAACAAAATAAGAAACCACTGTAACAGAAAGCAAAAAAAAAAGGGAAAAAAACATGATTCTTTAATAAAGCCATTCTTAAAGGCCTCTGCACATTTCCTTACATCACTGTTGCACTCAGTGAGCCTGAAATATTAAAGCAGTCAGTTTACCTTTTAAGTTAATATGATTATTATATTAAAGTGGAGCAGATTTGCCGATTTTTACAGAGATTTCAGGCGCTCACGCATGCATTTGCTCTCACGTGCGCCCTGGCACATCACTATTCGCATGGGCCAAGACCTAAAACTTACGATAATATTAAACACGGTTGATTTTGTCGCAGCGTCAACACGAGAAAAAGACTGACGTAAGACGGCCGTCTTGACCACCTCACACAACGTTCGAGATGACGCGAGCGCGATATGATTTTATTCCGACGTTGGAAATTTGTCTGCGACAGTGAAATCGCTTAAAAAGTTGTTTGGTCTGAGGCCGGCATTGAACGGTCATCTGGTATAGCTCCCTTCTGTGAGCCCAGAAGCTCTTCCCCCGTTAGAGAGTCCAACGCAGACATTCCATAGTCTGCTTCCCTTTATTACCTTTTTAGGAGGGCTCAAAGCTCTCTAGTCAGCCAATATTTTCTTTATTGATTGTTAATCAGGGAATGTTTAATTCAGTCTTTTCCATCACAAGCCTGCCAGAAAGTCAAAACCACAGTTACCTCATTCATTTATAATATGAACTCAATAGAGGCTCAAGGGAACATAATAACAATAATAATAATAATTATAAGAAGAAGAATTGCACTTTTATTTTTTTTTACAACATCAAAGTGCTTTCCACAGGAAAAAGAAGTCGGCTGTAAGTCTGCCTCAGCTGAGAAAAGTGGTCTGCGCTTAAACAGACCAGGCCAAGACTTTGTAGTCAGTGCCAGTGTAAGGCCTGTGTTACTATGCTCAAACGTGCTTTTCCTGTACTTGTGCTACTGTGAACTTGAAGTAGTTGGAGCTGACTTGGAGAGTCAGCAGCACAGCCAGCCAGCAACATGCTCGAGTGTGGTGTGTACGCCAGTACTCTGAGCTCATTGGAGCTGATTTAGAGAGACAGCAGGACAACCAGCCAGGAACATGTTACAGTAGTGAAATCTAATGATAATTAGAAATTATTTATAGTGGTGATGATTATTATTAGTTACACTTACGGTATTGATGCACTTTATAGGTTTACAGTTACTGTGTTACTGACTGGGTTGTTCTCAGAACAGCAGTGACGCATGGAAAATTTAAGATTTCGTGATGCACTGAATCATTTCCTAAAGAACTGTGATGGAACTAAATTGAGGTCGACGCTGTGCATTTTTATGGGATACATAAACATCATCTCTGTGGCAAAACCTCCTAACCACAAAACGGTAACTTTACAGGAGAAGGAATAAAGGTTCTTAACTTTAAATGGAAATGAATGTACCAGTATTTTGTTTCGGATCTTTTTGACCGTCTGGCTTGCTCCATTCATGATGATATTTTAACATAATGTAAAGGCCAGTTGGCATTTTCAAGTTCTGTATAAATAAATAAATAAAAACCTAACAAAAATGGAAATACAAAGTTTAGTTTTGACCCCAGCGATATGGTTAATGCATACACTTAGTAGAGTGTGAAACTCTACTTGCCCTGCCATGATGGTGAAAGTTGTTCCTTTTGGAGGTCTTTAGGTCAGCAAGCGCTCTCTTGCAGAAAGCATAGAGTTTACAGTCTGAACAGCCATCACAAATTAAGACTGCCAGACCATGTTATTCTTGAAATGATCAGTTAGAGTTTCTAATTATTATTATTTTATTGAACATGAACTGCTCCTCTCTTTCTGCAGTGCGTCCTGTACCAACCAGCGTTTCTTCTCATCAGCACTTGCTGAGTTCAGCTTCTCTACAGACGACTCCAGCAAGCTCTCTGTCCAACACCTGAGGACGACGTCCTGCTGTGACGAACTCCGCTGTATATCATATTTCTCCGGTGTTTTAAAGTGGACAGAGTGTGTTTTGTTTGTTTAAACTCTGCTGTGGTCATAGTGATGGTGCTGTGCAGCTGCAGGAGTGAGGAACGCTGGCTCTTAGCGACATCTTGTGGTCTTTGTGTTTCATAAACTCCACAGATCACAAAAAACTGGTGTTGTTACATTGTATACATTTCTGTGAAGCTTAAATTTGAGAGCCGTTTGCCCTCAAAAGTTACCATTAAACAGAGCTTTTTTAAAATATGGGTTTTGTCATTTTTGTTTTGTTCTGTCATTTAAAATGTCATTTGTCATAACAATAGATAAAGAAAACCCAATAAAACAAACAGCACAAAATTTTATATAATTTTTCATTCATTTATTGAACAAACATTATATATGTATTTTTTTTTTTTGGTTGGCAAAAGTACTTATACCTCTAGAATTGCCAGTTTGGTATAGGTGATAAAACAGGGTCAGGATGTTCAGTTAATTCTATGACAGTCGGGCTGACCCTACACTATTTAAAAAGCATCAACCTGAGGCTTCACCCTCAAAGTCTGGTCTTTCCCAAACACATTTGTTACTGCATGTTTCAGTCAAATTTCTGAAGGGCTCAGAAAAATGTTTGCCCGTGCTCATTAGGCTGGAAGAGGTCCGAAAACTATTGTTTGATAACTTCAACGGTTTCAACTGAAAGTGTACAAAAAGAAGGAAATTCAGCACCATTGTTAGCCTTCCCAGGAATGGTCATCTGACAAAACTGACTCCAAGACTAAGACTGGGAGTTATCCAAGAAGCCCAGGATGACGTAAAAGGATCTACATGTGTTTGTCCACAGTCAAACAAACACTTAACAAGAATAGTATGTTATATTACCAAAAGTATTGTCTCGTCTGCCTTCACACGCATATGAACTTGAGTGACATCCCACTCTTAATCCATAGGGTTTAATACGATGTCGGCCCACCCTTTGCAGCTATAACAGCTTCCACTCTTCTGGGAAGGCTTTCCACAAGGTTTAGGAGTGCGTTTATGGGAATTTTTGACCAGACACTGATGTTGGACGAGAAGGCCTGGCTCGCAGTCTCCGCTCTAATTCATCCCAGAGGCGTTCTATCAGGTTGAGGTCAGGACAAGTTCAAGTTCTTCCACACCAAACTCGCTCATCCATGTCTTTATGGACCTTGCTTTGTGCACTGGTGCGCAGTCATGTTGGAACAGGAAGGGGCCGTCCCCAAACTGTTCCCACAGTGTTGGGAGCATGAAATTGTCCAAAATCTCTTGGTCTGCTGAAGCAGTAAGAGTTCCTTTCACTGGAACTAAGGGGCCGAGCCCAACTCCTGAAAAACAACCCCACACCATAACCCCCCTCCACCAAACTTTACACTTGGCACAATGCAGTCAGACAGGTACCGTTCTCCTGGCAACCGCCAAACCCAGACTCGTCCATCGGATTGCCAGACGGAGAAGCGTGATTCATCAATCCAGAGAACACGTCTCCACTGCTCTAGAGTCCAGTGGCAGCGCTTTACACCACTGCATTCCACGCTTTGCACTGCGCTTGAATGCAGCTGCTCGGGCATGGAAACCCATTCCATGAAGCTCTCTATGCTGTTCTTGAGCTAATCTGAAGGCCACATGAAGTTTGGAGGTCTGTAGCGATTGACTCTGCAGAAAGTTGGTGACCTCTGTGCACTATGCGCCTCAGCATCCGCTGACCCTGCTCTGTCATTTTACGTGGCCGACCACTTTGTCGCTGAGTTGCTGAGTCCACTTTGTTATAATACCACTGACAGTTGACTGTGGAATATTTAGTAGTGAGGAAATTTCACGACTGGACTTGTTGCACAGGTGGCATCCTATCACAGTACCACGCTGGAATCCACTGAGCTCCTGAGAGCGACACATTCTTTCACAAATGTTTGGTTCACTACGGTTTGGACCTGTTTTGCTCCTATTGGGCCAGGTCAGCCTGCCCTCATTTGATAGAGTTAAATTCTGGATTGTACCAAAAAATTCTACAGGAGAATGGTTGGGCACCCCTCCACGAACAGAAATTCAACAGAAGGTGGGTCCTGTGGAAAGACAACGACCATAAAAACAACAGTTAGTCTACAAAGGATGGTTGGAGGCAGAAGGAATGTTGTAATTTGGAATCAAAGCTCAGACTTTAATCCGTTAGAAATGTTGGGCCGTTCATGCAAGAAAACCCACCAACGTAACAGAGGTAAAGAAGTGCTGTAAGGATGAATGAGCCAAGGCTGCTGCTCAGGGGAGTCACACCAGTTACTGAGAGCAGAGGTTCACATACACTATATGGACAAAAGTGTTGGGACGCCTCCACATTACACCTACACAAGCTTTTATGACATCCCAACCTAAATCCATAGGCATTATGGAGTTGTTTCCCCTTTGAAGCTCTAACAGCTTCCACTCTTCTGGGAAGTTTTCTACAAGATTTTGGAGAGAGTCTGTGGGAATTTTTGCCCATTCATCCAGAAGAGCATTTGTGAGGTCAGACACTGATGTTGGACGAGAGGGTCTGGCTCACAATCTCTGTTCTAGTTCATCCCAAAGGTGTTGGATGGGGTTGAGGTCAGGGCTCTGTGAGGGCCAGTCAAGTTCTTCCACACCAAACTGACCCAGCCGTGACTTTATGGAGCTGCTTTGTGTTCTGGGGCTCAGTCATGCTGGAACAGGAAAGGTTCTTCCGAAAACTGTTCCACAAAGTTAGAAGTGTACAATTGTCCAAAATGTCTTGGTGCTGAAGGATTAAGATTTCCCTTCACTGGAACTAAGGGTTCTAGACCAACCCCTGAAAAACAACCCCATATCATCATCCCTCCTCCACGAAACTCTACAGCTGTGCAGTCAGGCAGGTAATGTTCTCCTGGAACTCGCCAAACCCAGACTCGTCCATCAGACTGACAGATAGAGAAGCTGATTCATCACTACACAGAATACGTTTCCACTGCTCCAGAGTCCAGTGGCGGCACTTTACTCCACTCCATCTGATGCTGGTCATTGTACTTGGTGATGTAAGGCTTACATGCAGCTGCTCAGCCATGGAAACCCTGCCATGAAGCTCTAGGTGCAGTTTTTGTGCTGATGTTGTTGCCAGAGGAGGTTTGAACTCTGCAGTTATTGATCAGCAGAGTGTTGTGGACGTTTATGCTCTATGCTCCTCAGCACTCGGCGACCCGCTCTCTAACTTTACAAGTTGCTGTGGTTCCTAAACGCTTCCACTTTCCATTAATACCACTCACAGTTGATCATGGAAAATCTAGGAGGGAAAAAATTTCACAAACTGACTTGTTACAACGGTGGCATCTTATTACAGCACCACACTCTAATTCAGTGAGCTCTTTAGAACGACCCATTCTTTCACTACTGTGTGTGAAGGCAGGCTGCATTTGCCAACAGAGATATTTACTTTTGGATTTATAAACTACATCATTGTGTTATTTGTTTTATTGGGTTCTCTTTATGTATGGCTATGGTTTGAAGGAAGATCTGATCACATTTAAGGTCACATTTATGTAGATAAACATATTATATGTTTATGATTATATAGACCATGATAAAATGGTTCATTATGTAGTGTTTTACAGTTTTCCCAGCACCTTTACTAGCTGTTTCACATTATTAGCTATTTGTCGAGTCTTTTTCAAACTTAATCAGGCGTATTAGAGCAGGAAACACTCAGTACAGCTCAACTACAGGTCTGCAGCTGGGAAGCACTGTTTAAGTCAGTGGTCTCTAACCCTGGTCCTGGAGGGCTACCTTCCTGCAGTAGTTCCATCCTATATCCAATAGGCTGCGCTGCCCCTTAACTCATCTGATACATCTGATCCAGCAGGGAATTGGAAAGAGGTTGATTAGCTGGAACAGGCATGACAAACCGGGGTTGGAACAAGGCTCAGCTGGAAGGGAGCTCAACTGGACCAGGGTTGGCGACCACTGATTTAAGCACTTGAAGGCCAATTTTCTATGTTCCATATTTTAGCAATACCACTGTGAACCACAAGATGTCAGTATATACCAGTGCATGTTGTTAACAGAGCCTGGGTTTAAGCATATGGTTTCATACAATGCAAAATATTATTTATAATAACACAACCCAGTACCTACTGTTTACGTGCCGCACTGAAACCTTTAAAAAAAGCCTTCTTGACCATGTAGTGCCACAAATAAGGCTGTGAAAACTGAGAGAACAGTTAAAATTATGATATAGTCTGTGAAAGCAGTTGTAACGTATCACTGTTGTCTGAAGAAAACCTCATATCTCCATTTTTGAGGTTTTTCAGTTTTTGACATAATTTGAAAATGCCTGTTGTCCTTTACATTATATGTAAATTTCATGATGATTGGACTAAAAGAAACGGCCCAAAATGACTTGGAGAAACGTCTGGTTCCAGTGACTTACATTAAAAAGTAAAGTAGGTTTTTTCCTTCTCCTGTAAAGTTACCATTTTGGAGATACAAGGTTTTCGTCCAACAGCAGTGATATATATATGTGTACATATCTAATAAAATATATACAGTTCTATAATACAAAGTTTGGGCACCCCTGGTCAATTGACATGTTTTTTTTGTCGTTTTTCCTAAGTGATAATAAGTTAACATGCCCTCTACTGAGAACACGCTTCTGCAGTAAAAATTGCAGAAAAATGCCATATTTAAGTTTATCTGTAGAGGATGTGTTGACATATTTTCATTTAGAAAATCAACAAAATGTCATGTTCTAGATATATTTAAACTTTTGCGTGCAACTGTACAATAAGTGCTTTATTATAAACAAATTCTGTATATTTTCTGTGTACACTGACAGAGCACTTTGTCCATTTTATCAGCTCCACTTACTATATAGGAGCACTTTGTAGTTCTACAGTTACAGACTGTAGTCCATCTGTTTCTCTGCATACTTTGTTACCCTGTTCTTCAGTGGTCAGGACCCCCATGGACCCTCACAGAGCAGGTACTATTTGGGTGGTGGGTCATTCTCAGCACTGCAGTGACACTGACGCGTTGGTGCAGAAAGATAAGCCTGTAACCTCCGTGTAATGATGGTGTTGGTGTACTCAATAGTAGTTCCCAGTGTCTGAGCTTTGTACAAATGCAGTTTAATTAATATTTTTATGAATGAAAAATAGGGTGAGTCCCTTATTTTTACCAATATTCGTGTGCAAAGGTTTTGGACCCTGGTCAAATGACGTTTTGTTGATTATCTAAGTGAAAGTAAGTGAACATTTACTCTGCAGAGAACACATTTCTGCACGTTTTAATGCACAATTATTGTTTATTTGCACAATTTAACATATATATTGAAACATAGTGGAAAAAAAATACATAAAATGTAGACTGTGCAAAAGTTAAGGCACATTTTGTCTTTTGTTTTATTTTTTCCAGCATGTTAAACCTCTCAAATAGACATTGAGCAATAAAATGTGCAAAAAAAAAATGTCATATTTAAGTGTGTTAGTCTGTGAGGATGTGTTAAATTAGCAAACACTTTGATTTGGGGTGTTCAGACTATGACTATGACTGAATGACACTCAAACTCAAGTTTAGTCCAGTCAGTCTAAGGCCACCATCCAACTACATGCCCAGGACTCAGTTTTACTCTTTTTCTTATGCAATGCTCAATTAAAAAAGCATAATAACATGAAAAAAGATGGAATTATAGAGCAAAATCACATGCAAATGACTGATCTGGCCAGGTCAGATAAGATACTGGGCCTGGCTCCTGGCAGCAGAGAGCGTCGGCCCGCATCCAGGAAAAGGCCAGTTCAGATGGTCACCCGTTTTTGCCCGAGAGCACAATGCACTTAATGAGGGGAGGGGCAGACATCCTGAGAGCCGCAGCAGGTGCGCAGGGAGGGGGTCCGGCCACACTCTTCTGTGTCTGTACATGTGTGTGAGTGTGCCTTTTAGGAGGACTTCACTTCCCACGTTTCCTCACGGACGGGTGGTAACAGGAAGGTAACAGTCATTTCCGCCCATTCCTGGCCTGTAAAGGGTCAAAGGTCGCCTCTGCCATACGCACGAGTCTGTGCACTCTCACTCTCAGCTGTCCTCGGACTTACTTTCTCCAGCGCTCAGATACGTTTGGGTAGACAGACACAAAACAGACCCACTCACTAATGTACATAATGTAATTGAACGTATATCTTCATACTGAGTCAGTCTAATGGTGACTGCGGTTCAGACCAGATATTCATCACATATATGAACCTTCAGAGTGGTGACTGCGTGAGTGACCATGACCCACTAACACAAGACAGGAGACGATCCTGCAGCTATTCTTTTTTTACTTCACCAAAATCTATGCAATGGGAAAGGCATTGTGGAAGACTTGTCCAAATATAGGCCTGCAATTATTACAGTGACACAAAACTGGAAACCCAAATATGTCATTCAGACTGTTCCAGTTAACCACCCCCCCCTTAAACACACACACATTTTTATACATTCCACATGGTATCCCATGTGGAATGTGAGATCATATGTATGATATATATGCAATTGCCTATAAGTAATAACAGTGTTCCATATTTAAGTGCCTGTATTTAATATTATTGTTCCCTATATGTGCACCTGTTACCTATAAGTAATCTATGTAACTAGAAACGTGGACTTCCTGAAGGAAACGCAGAATGGTTGAGCAGCTTAAATGGTTCCCACTTCCTGCTAGGTTGCGAGGTGGTTGCTTTGGTGTTGCTAGGGGTTTGGTATTATATCCCAGGTGGTTGCTAGGCGGTTGCTATGGTGTTGCTAGGCGGTTGCTGTGGTATCCCAGGTGGTTGCTAGGCGGTTGCTGTGGTATCCCAGGCGGTTGCCCGAATACTGCTAGGTGGTTGTCATTGTGTCCCAGGTGGTTGCTATGATGTTGCTAGGCTGTTGCTGTGGTAGCACAGATGGTTGGTATGGTGTTGCCAGGGGTTTTGTATTGTATCCCAGGTGGTTGCTAGGCGGTTGCTGTGGTGTCCGAGGTGGTTGCTATGGTGTCCCAGGTTGTTGCTAGAGAACTCCTAGGTTTTTTTCATGGTATCCCAGGTGGTCGCTAAGATGTTGCTAGGCAGTTGCTATGGTATCCCATGCGGCTGCTAAACTGCTGCTATGGCGTATGGGGTGTTTATTTAGTTGTTCGTAGGGAGTTGCTAAGTGGTAGCTACACACACACACACACATCTCCTAAGCCGCTTATCTCTCTGGGTTGCAGGGGGGTGCTGGAGCCTTTCCCAGCTTAGAGCTTGAGGACCTACACTGAGTGAGTACATGCGTTTTGGTGGCTGTCAGTCAAAGGAAAGTCTAGGTCTCGTTTGTGGGTGTCCTATATATTATTATATATAATACATATGAGACATACATGTGTAAAAATGTTCCATATTTATTATATGTCAGTGTTTACATGTAATAATGATCTGTCTGTGTGTAAATAGCTATATATTGGAGTGGCCCACAACTGGCTGGCACTGGTCCTAACGAGCTCAGGGAAGTGTGTAGCTCCTTTCTGAGTTGGTGTTCTGTATACGTCTTGGAAGTCCGGAGAGGCCATGAGGTAGTTATAATTTTCTGGATTGTTATCTTGAGATAAAAAGTTAATTGTCTTGTGATTGCAAGATAACAAAGTTGTGGCCACTCCTGTGTCTTACTCTCTGTCAGAATATAATAATAATAATAATAATAATAATAAATGTGCCCTATATCTATCACAAAATATGCAGGTGTTCATATGTAATGATAATGTATAAGGTAAGTACCTAAATATAATACTGTTTTTCACATTTAAGTGCCTATATGTAATCCTTTTCCTTATGTATCCTATATATCGCTGCTGTGGGAACAAAACCTCATATCTAAAATGGTAACTTTACAGGAGAAGGAAAAAACCTACTGTACTTTTAATGTAAGTCAATGGAACCAGGCGTTTTTCCAAGTCATTTGGGTTGTTTCTTTTAGTTTATTCTATGAAATTTACACACAATGCAAAGAGCAACAGGCATTTTCGAATTATGTTAAAAACTGAAAAACGATACAAGATTTTGTTCCCACAGCAGGGATATGTAAGTATCTATATGTAATAATAATCTGGCCTATATGTATTACATATATGTACTTATATGCAATAGAATGACAGATATGTCACATCTCTGTAAGCAGCAGAGACAGGAGACGTCTGTATAACGTACAGTGTATGAAAACACACACACAGATCAGGCTGTAACATTTGGTTGGTAAATGCACCTTTAATTACAATCCCTGCCTCCAAATACCAGCAGAGAGGAAGGAGAGGCGACACAAAGATGACAAGGTTTAACAGGGTGACGTTCTGAACGAAAACCACCGTACAAAAGAAAGATCCAAATCAATATATACAGCGTATTTACACGAGTGCTATTTACATCCGAGTATAAAAACAAAAATCATACATCTCTTACAGCTGCAACGTGACACAGGCAAAGTGAAATACAACAGATATCATCTCTTGAGAACTCGTGGTGCTCTTTAAGCTGCGCTCCTTCGCTTTTTGCTCGTTTAGTGTTGTGTGTCCTTCCTGCCTAGCATTCTTCAGATGAAGGCAACGTGAAGTCGTTCCAAAGGAGATTTAGTGCTTAAAACTCTACATACACATCCATGCATGTGCACAAACACACACCCACACACACTCACACAAACAGAGGGCACGTGTAAACACACACCATATACACTTAAATAAAGATGTCAGGCCTAAAAAAAATTGTTCGGTCCCTTTTGAGGATTCTTTGACCTTTAAAGCAACAGTTTGGTAAAAAAGAATTTAATTTCCACAATTTTCCTCACCCTGAATGTAGTCGGTCAGCAAACAGATGCTCAGCAACGTGCAAATTGGAAGCATACACCAATCAGGCATAACATTATGACTCCCTCCTTGTTTCTACGCTCATTGTCCATTTTATCAGCTCCACTTACTATATAGGTGCACTTTGTAGTTCTACAGTTACAGACTGTAGTCCATCTGTTTCTCTGCATACTTTGTTAGCCCCCTTTTACCCTGTTCTTCAGTGGTCAGGACCCCCATGGACCCTCAGTGTCACTGCTGGACTAAGAATAGTCCACCAACCAAAAATATCCAGCCAACAGCGTCCTGTGGGCAGCGTCCTGTGACCACTGATGAAGGACTAGAGGATGACCAACACAAACTGTACAGCAGCAGATGAGCTATCGTCTCTGACTTTACGTCTACAAGGTGGACTGACAAGTTAGGAGTGTCTAATAGAGTGGACAGTGAGTGGACACAGTGTTTAAAAACTCCAGCAGCACTGCTGTGTCTGATCCACTCGTACCAGCACAACACACACCAACACACCACCACCACGTCAGTGTTACTGCAGTGCTGAGAATGATCCACCACCCAAATAGTACCTGCTCTGTGAGGGTCCATGGGGGTCCTGACCACTGAAGAACAGGGTAAAAGGGGGCTAACAAAGTATCAGAGAAACAGATGGACTACAGTCTGTAACTGTAGAACTACAAAGTGCACCTATATAGTAAGTGGAGCTGATAAAATGGAGAATGAGTGTAGAAACAAGGAGGTGGTCATAATGTTATGCCTGATCGGTGTAGATCATCACATGCTTGTATTAAATCCTGTCCGGTTGTTCAGTAATCTCAAGTAGATTTGCTTATGTGGAAACACTCTTTGAAACTTCGGTGTGAGTGTAATAATATTATATAATATTAATAAATAACAATATGTCATTATTCTGTGAGAAGCCACACAAGCAGCCTCATTTCAGATTGCTCATGCTAAACTGGTGTCTATTCCATCGCTCGTTAGCAACGATAGCCTCATAGCTCCAGTGCAAAACTAAAGAAACGCATTTCAGACACCAAACCTGTCTTGGCCGATGGACAACATTTGGGCGAAGGGGGAAACTGTTTCAGTCTGATTTTTAGCCGAACTATCGCTTTAAACATGTTTACTTGGCCTGAGGTCCGCAGCTCATGCCTGGAGTGCTGTCTTTTCCGGTGCCTTCGCAAAGACCTAGCTCTGACCTTCCTGGCAGGAGGCTGCTCAAGAAGGGGTCAGTCGAGGTGAGCCGTTCTTTTCTTAGGGCATCGCAGTCCTTCCTAAAGGTCAGTGCAAGGTCATGCCTCCAGCTCTTGGCTGTCTGCGTAATGGAACCGGTTCAGCTTCTCCCGCTCACGGTTGCAGATGTCCAGTTTGGGTCCTGGGACCAGTTTGAAGGCAGGGGATGGCGCCGGAGAGGGTGGCAGGGTCAGTTCGATCTCCTCCGGGTGGAGCACAGACGGGACGGCCTGAGCCTGGCCATGGCGGCCAGGTGCCTGCAGCACCTCATTGTGGTCCACGTTGCGGATGAGGGTGCAGAAGTGGCGCTGGTTGTTGATGGCGGTGTCCGTGGTCGGCTGCTTGGTGCTGCGGCGCCGGTGCAGGCGGGACAGGAGGAGAGCGCAGACTGAGCAGCCGCCGGCCACTAACACGGCCAGCACCCCAAGCAGAACCATGTACATGCTGAACTCTCCACTGCTTGAGTTTGATACTGAGAGAGAGAGACATGGAGAAAGAGATGCGGTACAGAGATGTAAATATGCAGAAGAGATAAAAGACATGTCCACCTGTAATGTTTGTGTGGGTGTACAGTTTACAGTATGCAGATTATAGATTAGATTTTTTTATTTTAGAAGGGAAAAGTAAACACAACCTCAGTAGCAAACTGTTTAAAAGAATAATATTTGTTGCAAATGCTAATGCATGATTGATTTACATTTGATTAACTAAAATAGGAACTGTGGCATGAGAAAAAGACTGGACAGCCTACTAAGCCAGTACTTAGTACTACCCACTTTGACAGTTATTACAGCTGAGCAAACACTTTTTGTAGCCAGCTAGGAGTGTTTCTGTTTTTGGTCTGGAAATTGTCAGTCACTCCAGAATGCTTCTAGTTTAATATTTAGTGGAATCCAGTCTTCTATCAATGCATGCAATATTTCCTGTGCCATTGGTCCCCACACAACCCCAAAGGATAACAGATCCACCCCATACTTAACAGTTGGCAAGGTGTTCTTTTCATCAGATGCTGCTCCTTTTTCCTTCAAATATACCTTTGTTCCCTTTTCACATTGCACTGCACTTTTCCAAATCTGCATCTGGCTTATCTAGATGTTATTTTGCACAATTCAGATGTTGACCTTTGAGATTGCAGGCAAGTTTTCCCTCTGATGACTCTTCTTTGCAGATCATGTTTGTGCAAGTAAAACCATGCAAGTTTGTGCAAGTAACACCATTACTCCTGTGTCAGCTACGCCTTTTTGCAGGCCCTTTGCTGTCATATGGGGGTTTTGCTTTGCCTTTCTTGTGATTCTCAATCTGCCTAAGTTCTGAGACCTTACTACTGGAAAGGTGAACAAACTTTTACAAAGCTAATATTTTTTTTTCGTATTATCTCTACTTCTATTATCTACTACCTAGAACCATCTTATTATGAACACCTGCACACCTACTCAGTCCTATATCAGCCTATCATGTGTGGTACAGTGTATTGTGTGAAAAACAAAAAAACATCAACAACCAGAGCAGCCGTTCTATGGCCAGAAATGCTTCATTAATGAGAGAGATCATAGGAAAATGGTCAGACTTTTTAAGCTGACAGAAAAGGTACGGTAACACCAGTAACCACTCTTTATGACAGTGGTGCTCAGAAAAGCATCTCTGAACAGGCGGAATTTTGAGGTGGATGGGCTACAACAGCAGAGACCACATCGAGTTCCACTCCTGACAACCAAGAAGAGAAATCCAAGTCTACAGTGGACACAATCTCAGCGAAACTGGACATGCAGGTGGTCGAGTCAGAAATTGGCATAAATAGCATGAATGCACCCAACCTGCCTTGTGTGAACAATCTAGGTTGGTGGTGGTCAATTTGTGGTGGCCAGATTGTTGTTACTGACCATGTGCATCCTTTTATGGACACATCTGACTTTTCTTAATTTAATTTAATCTCCTAATGGCTACTTCCAGCATGATAATGCACTTTGCCACAAAAGACAATTTACCTCCAACTGGTTCCATGATCATGTCATTGAGTTCAGAGTACTTCAGCGACCTCCAGTCACCACTGTTTGCAATTTGTTTATTAAATAAAACTGTGTAATTGATTTCCTGTCTTCCGCTCCAGTAAATCTGTTAGACTGTCTGCCATAATAGCATCAATTTAGCATAAATTGGCAAACTAAATTGCTGTAGGTAGATGGACAGCCATATATGAGTGAATTGTATGTTCTGAAACTTTTAACAAAGTTTACACAATACATCAAAAATGCATAAAAAACTTCAGTTTTCCAGGATATGGGCCCTTTATTGTTCTTTTAAAGGGCCCTTTAAATCTACTCTTTTAAAATCACCACCTCATCCCAGCGTTAGACTCTGACCTTGGCAATGCGGCCCATGGCACAAGTCCTTCAGGCTCATGCACTCTTTTCCAAAGTAACCTTCAGGGCAGGCACACATGTAGCCACTTTCTGTGCTCTGACACGGCACCCCCTTCTGGCAGGGGTTGGGATTACACATATCTACCACCACCTGTGGAAGAACAGGAGAACATATCAGTGACAAAGTCAGCACCATCCTGAGTTACTGTTGTAAAATGTCAGTCTGTAATAATTACACATACAGTACTGTGCAAAAGTCAAAGACCACCCTTTTGTTTATTTCATTTTCAGTCAAAATATGGGACACATTTAATTCGTCCACTCTTTCCTTCAAACCTAGAAACATATCCCTGCAGATTTCTTTGAAAAACAACCAAAAAAAAAGAATGGAAGGGTGGACAGATTAAATATTGAAAAAAATGTGTATTATATTTAGTTGTTGAGTTTTCTTTGTAATTTTCTGTTAAATATTTCTTTACTGCCTTTTTCCTGAAAAATGAATAACTGTTATCTAATGACGCTCTGTATCTTTCAATATATGCTCATGCACACATTCTCATATGCAATAAGGATTTTTGAATTATGGTGCGGAACTCAAGCTTATCTGAAATAGACTGATGCACAGTGGAAAAGTGTATTGGGGTCTGATGAGTCAACCATTCAGATTGTTTATGAAAAATAATGGATATGGTGTCCTCTGGGCCAAGGCGGAAAAAGACCATCCATTGTTACCAGCATAAAGTTAGAAATCCAGCGTCGATCATGCTATAGAAGTGTATTAGGGCCCACACCATGAGTTACTTGTACATTTGTTGTACTATATTAATGCTGAGATATATTTCTTCCAATGTTGTTGGAAGAAAACCTTGTATCTCCAAAATAGTAACTTTACAGGAGAAGGAAAAAACATACTTTACTTTTAATGTAAGTCAGTGGAACCAGACTTTTTTCCAAGTAATTTTGGGTCGTTTCTTTTAGTCCTTTCTTAATGAAATTTACATACAATGTAAAGGGCAACAGGTATTTTCAAATTATGTCAAAAACTGAAAAACCTCAAAAATGGAGATATAAGGTTTTCTTCCGACAACAGCGAAGTGTAACAACCTCATGGCTGCAAAGCACAGGGGACTGGACTGGCCTGTCTGCAGTCCAGAACTATCTCCCATTGAAAATGTGTGGTGCAAAATATGACAATGAAGGCTCCATACAATTGCACAGCTGAAGACTTGTATAACAGAAGGATGGCAAAAAATACCATTCATTCCCCAAATGACTATTTTGTATAATTTTTATTTAATGCAGCTCAATCAGAATGTACTACTCACTTTTCTTAAATAAACTTTTGTTTCTGTTTTTATTAGCATTTCACATACTGCCCCAATTTTTTCTGGAGCTGAAGTGTGCACTACATCGGCAGGGCTCAGTACTCACTTGATGAGCTGGATTAGGAGTGCTGGAGGAGGGAATAATTAAATAACACGTAGAAATTGCTAGTTAAAAGTATCCTATGTACAGCAGGCCTTACCTCACAGTAAGTTCCAGTGTACCCCACTGGACAGTTGCAGAGCAGGCTCTCGTCATCCTTCTGCTCCACACACTGTCCTCCATGCAAACAGGGGGCGCTGTCACAGGCTCCCACTGCGGTCTGGCAGTGTTCACCAGTAAAACCCGACAAGCACACACACTTTGAGTCCTGCAATTCACAGATTACGCCTCATGAGATACAGAGAGAGAAACAGCTCGAGGCAATGTCTCTATGTGCATTTCAAAGTCAGTTCTGCCAGGTGTTAGCAACAGTCAGCATTCAGCATTGCTCAAGCGATTCAGGAGTCGCACATTATAATTTAAAAAGTGAGAAGTGAATGCCGTACCTCGCAGCGTCCTCCGTTGTGACACGAACCCTGGCAGCTACTGTTCCCTGTTGAGTTGGTGATATTTAACACAATCAATAGCCAGGACTGCTTGTCCAGCACAGCAAAGAGCTACAGCTGCACAGTGGATTACGAATGGTACCGAGGTGCTAGCTAACAAATGTCTTCATTACAAGGATCTGCAGCTGGCATTTTTAAATAACACAGGACTGTCTAAGCAGGTACAGGTGATCACTCTCACTCAGGGAGGCTAAATGCTAAAATGAAAAATGAAATCATCGCTGCCTTCTGTTGTAAACATTATTACTCAGATCCTGCAGTGGTGTCGATTTATTGAGTTTAAAGACTAGGTTTCTGACGATCGGAGGAACTTTTGACAAATTCTACCGATTTAGAGATGATTTTTTGGGGGGTTGGGGGTTTTGGTGGCTGTTTTGAAGTTATAATTGTTTATTTTAGCTGGTAAACGCAGAAGGAAGCCAGATAGCTAATGATACAGCTAGGATGCCAAAAGAACACTCCCATACAGAGACTGAGGAGTGTAGAGTTGAGGAGGTTCAGAAGCTAAACGCTAAAGTTAGCAAGGTGGCTATCTGGCTATCTGACGTTACCTCAGTTTGATTATTTTCTCTGACTAAAAAGGTAAAAAACTGGTCTCTGGTGTACATTTTGTGCTGAATAAAGACAGAATCACTGTTTTATTTGCAATTTTTGTTTGACAACCAAGGTAAAAGTTATACTAATGCTAGCTTGGTTGTATTTATTAGCCTGTGGATCAGTGGCTAGGCTAGCAGGATTGATTGACACCACAGGAATTCTCATAGTACATATATATATATATATATATATATATATATATATATATATAACATGTTAAACTCCAAAGCTTTAGCTTTACACCCTGTTTGTGCTGGATTAGTTTTCAGTGTTTGCTGATGAGAGTTGTCCTTTTAATTCAGCATAAATCTTTAACGTCCATGTTTTTTTTTTAAATCTGTCAAGTAATAATTCCTGAACTAATCACCTTCTGTAATTGGCTGAGCTCCCTCTGTAAGCAGTCTGCTTCAAACTGATCTAGCACTAATGTAATGAGAAAACCTGCTAATAGACACGCTGGGTGGTGTGTAATGTGGTTCTTGTGATGTAACACTGACATGAACCACAAGGCCATGATATTTCAGTACGTCTATCAGTCGTAATTTAGGGAACACATATTTTATCCTGTATAAATCAGCTAGTCAGATGTCTTACAAATTACATTACAGTATATAGTTTAGTAAAAGCAGTCCAGCTTGAATAGTGCTTCATTTAGTAGCCTTGAAAACAATGATGAAAGCTGTACTATATATATATATATAATCATCGCTGTTGGGACAAAACCTCATATCATATTTTAGACGGTTTTCATTGATTGACATAATTCAAAATCTCTGTGTCAAAATTTCATAACAAATGGACCAACAGAACTACTTGGAATAAATAATTTCTCTATTGTCCTGCATTAAAATTCCTTCACATTTTTAGTGATACGCTTTTAACAAAAATGTGGTTATGAAAGCTGCATGTATCAAAATGCATCCCTCCCATACTCACTTATATCGCACTTCGGCCCCACCCATCCAGGCAGACAGTTGCAGAGGTATCCACCAATCAGGTTTCGGCAGGACTGAGCATTGACACAGACGCCCACCTCACACTCGTTCATATCTGCAAACAGAGTTTTTCTTTTACTCAGATATTCCAGCACAGTTTGGTGATTTTCCTGCTTCAGTACAAAGTGAGCTTGATAACTAACTGCTGATCTCAGTCGGGTGTGACACCCCAAAGACACACCACCACCACGTCAATGTCACTGCAGTGCTGAGAATGATCCACCACCCAAATAGTACCTGCTCTGTGAGGGTCCATGGGGGTCCTGACCACTGAAGAACAGGGTAAAAGGGGGCTAACAAAGTATGCAGAGAAACAGATGGACTACAGTCTGTAACTGTAGAACTACAAAGTGCACCTATATAGTAAGTGGAGCTGATAAAATGGACAATGAGCGTAGAAACAAGGTCATAATGTTTTGCCTGACGGGTGTAGTGTCAATACACCATCAGGAATCACTCATATACATCATACAACCACTGGGAATCCCTGTGGTGTCAATCAATCCTGACTGCTAGGCTAGCCACTGATCTACAGGCTAATAAATACAACCATGCTAGAATTAGAACATTAATTCTGTCTTTGTAAGTAGCTATATTTCTAACTTTAGCTTCTAGCTTGTTGTCCCGCTCATCTGACTAGTCATTTCTGTCAAACAAACCATTCCCATCATCAGAATAATGATTTGACGACAATGTGAAGTGGGGTGTTCAGAATTCGCCTGCAAAGTGAGGCTGAGCACTGCATTGGCAGATACACTTGAAGACGTTCAGAAAACACTGATTACACTTCAGATAACAAATATCACTGTCGCTGAGAAAATAACTGTCGCTGAGTCTGATCAAAATTTGCTCGCCCTTTCAGAGCGGGGGTGTTCTGAGGTGTCAGTTTGACACATGACTGCAACTGAGAGCATGATACACTCTAGGGAACGAGCGCTGAGGTGGGCCACGAGGGGCAGCCAAGTGTAAAAAAGATTCTTCCATTAGTGAACATGCCCTGGCCTGCCTCACAGTCTGCTCTGTCCAAACACTCCGATTCCTCCCTCTTTAATCATTAAACAAACAGTCAGCGCACCGTCTGATCCGGGTTAATAGATAGCGAAGGTTGGCAAAGAAACAATAGTGTCGTGGGAAAATGATGCTCGATGCATCTTGGGTTGACATAAAGTCATTCAATCAATGGATAATTAATAGAGCCATTTATAAATTTAGGTATCTTGTGGACATTTTATGTATGTTTTGTTAGATAATGATAGGGAAAGTGCAACAAGATGAGTGGATATATCTTTTGAATCTGGCAAATTATTTATGTACTTATGCATGTATGTATTTATCTGTATAGGGTTGCATGTACATCGATCAGGCATAACATTATGACCACCTCCTTGTTTCTACGCTCATTGTTCATTTTATCAGCTCCACTTACTATATAGGTGCACTTTGTAGTTCTACAGTTACAGACTGTAGTCCATCTGTTTCTCTGATACTTTGTTAGCCCCCTTTTACCCTGTTCTTCAGTGGTCAGGACCCCCACGGACCCTCACAGAGCAAGTACTATTTGGGTGGAGGATCATTCTCAGCACTGCAGTAACACTGACATGGTGGTGGTGTGTTAGTGTGTGTTGTGCTGGTATGAGTGGATCAGACACAGCAGTGCTGCTGTATATGCAACAGTGTCTTTCCACGCTGGACTAAGAGGTGTCTGAAGACATGACCAGGTATAATTTAGCATTTTAAATTTCTGCAGATCAATAAGTGCACCTCATTAGTAGGCCTATTCCTTTATTAGTGGGCTTATTCCTTTATTAGTGGACCTATTCCTTTATTAGTGGGCTAAATTCCTTTATTAGTGGACCTATTCCTTTATTAGTGGGCTTATTCCTTTATTAGTGGACCTATTCCTTTACTAGTGGGCTTATTCCTTTATTAGTGGACCTATTCCTTTATTAGTGGACCTATTCCTTTATTAGTGGGCTTAATTCCTTTATTAGTGGGCTTAATTCCTTTATTAGTGGGCTTATTCCTTTGTTAGTGGGCCTATTCCTTTATTAGTGGACCTATTCCTTTATTAGTGGGCTTAATTCCTTTATTAGTGGGCTTATTCCTTTATTAGTGGGCCTATTCCTTTATTAGTGGGCTTAATTCCTTTATTAGTGGACCTATTCCTTTATTAGTGGGCCTATTCCTTTATTAGTTGGCCTATTCCTTTATTAGTGGGCTTATTCCTTTATTAGTGGGCTTAGTCCCTTTATTAGTGGGCCTATTCCTTTATTAGTGGACCTATTCCTTTATTAGTGGGCTTAATTCCTTTATTAGTGGGCTTAATTCCTTTATTAGTGGGCTTATTTGTTGGCCTGTCCTTCTATACTGTGAACTGAGAGGCAGAGATGAACAGGTGTGGACAGGTACAGACAGGTAAGGACAGGCTCAGGCAAGCATCAGCAGGTCCAGGAGAGCGCGGACTGGTACAGACAGGATCAGAGAGGCACGGGCATGTGCGGGCAGACGGCTAATTACAGAGACCAGGACAGCCGGGGGAGGATATGCGCATGTATGTATGTAAGTGTGTGTTTGTGTGTGTTTACCTATCTGGCAGGTCTTGCCGGTCCAGCCTGGAGGACAGAGACACTGGAAGCCCCGCGGCGTCTCTCGGCACGTGGCCCCACTCTTGCACGGGGCCGAGTCACACTGCAGCACTGCTACACAATATGAGACAAGCAAATACATGTAAGTCAAATACATGCAAACAATCCATGCAATTCACTGCTGTAACCCCTTGAACTTTTAATGCTCAACCAGAAAGTTGCGATATTTCTACCTTAATTTACTCGTATCCTTTAACACCCTGATTTCTCTGTCATCTTCTCTTATTTTATTCACCTAATTATGTTCTGATTCATATTAGCACTATATTAAATCACTATATTAAAGCACTAGGGAGCCTAAATCTGTGATTGCTTTCTAATTAGGTTTAATTTTGTCTCGTGGGCAAGTAATATGCATATGCAAATAGGCCCTATGAATATCTTCCTAATGTCTACATGTATGTCTTTCCTTTTGATATAATTTGGACAGATCTAACTTTGGTAAAGCTTGCATACAACATAAAATATACAATGTAGTGTTATGTAAAATGCAGAGGGTCATTCTCCAGTTGGAGGTGAAACTGTGTCACAAAGGCTGCAGGGCTTCAAAAGATGCTTAAAATATTAGGCACAGCTCCAGAAGTCGGTATGTACATTTACATAGTTGAGCTAAGATTAAATAACACCTTTCCTTTATGATTTCACTGATTTTTCTTTTTTTATATCATTAATATTACACTACATTAAAAATATGTATTTTATTTAAAAAATTCATTTGTCACAGAGATTTTGGTCACTGGTGTTATCAGGACTCTTATGTTGTATTTTCAGCTCTATTAATCTGCTTCTTTGGGTTGAAGCTCATCAGAGAGGAAGCAGCTAAAGGCATGAGAAGGCGAGTCACACTCGCTCAGTATATTTCATTAATTTATTAATAATTTTGTTGATCAGGCAGCTCATAACTTCTATGTGTCACTGGTGTTATGTACTTTAATGGCTGGGGAATTAAAATGTTGTCAAAATTATGCCAAAATATCATTTATATTACTGATTTTAAATAGTTACACAAGGTCACCTGACCATTAATGAGTCAGCCAATTTACAAAATCTTCTGTTTTAACCAGAATGTCACTGGAGTCACAGTCACTGGTGTTGCACCACATTCATACAACACCAGTGACTGTAAAATATGTTTGGAATTAAGTTCCTTTTTGTATACATGATAATGTGAGATATTATGAGATATTAATGGACATATTGAGATTGTTTAGTTTTGGGATGAAAAGAAAAACAATTTTTTAAAAAATATATTCACCTGAATTCCCACTCCAGATGGAGAACGACCCAGAGACTCATTTCATTTCCAGTTAAAACAGTCATTAAATGTGTTATTTATTTTTAAGGAGATATTTCTGAGGAGATTAGATATAAAATAACCCACTTGAGTAAGAATGGGGGAAAGTCAGAGGAAAATAAGTAACAGAAGAAGGAAAAAGACAACAAAACTTGAACAATTATTAACAGATATGGAGAGAATGGGACTCCTAACAACCCCCTGTTAGACCACCAAAACTGTCACCATCAGATAAACAGACCTCAGTATCCCTGGATTTGTTTGGAATTATTTGGATCATGAAAAGCAGAAAATGACCAAAATGACCAGAAAAAAAAAACAACTTCTGAGACTGAACTTTCTCTCTTGATTTCTTTGTAAAACTGAAAGCCTCCTGAAAAGAACAGAATACCAAACGTGTTTCCTGTTTGCTTTCCTGCTAAAAAATAAATTACTTTTAATTGCTGTGTGATAGTTATCCTTCAGAAATGCTCTTCGTGTGCTAGATTTTTAGAAATCTAGGCATTTCTAGGCATTTCTGCCTTTTATTCTACTATTCTACTACATCAGGGGTCTGCAAGCCAAATGTTAAGAAGAGACATTTTGTCAAGTTTCAACAAAAATCAATCCATCTTGGGAGCCACAACATTTCATGTCCATTTTATTGAATAAACGTTTCACCATCTTGGCTGTAAATGTGTCTCAGTATGTTGCTAATGTACTAGTATAGGCTAAACATATATTACAAACCAAAACGCAGGCTTACTTTGCTCTGCTTTAAGCTTTAGCCCAGCTAATGTTAAAGCCGCTTTTCTCGCATCTCTAGCAGGAAACTTTTAACTTTTACAAAAGTAGAACAGTTTCTTGTAAAATGTCTCTTAAAATGTCTGTTTGACTTTTTACGAGGCTGACGTCGCTTCTCATTCACCAGCTTCTTGTTCGAATTTTCGCATGAGGTGCCAGAATGTAATGCACCATTTAAGGTGGAACGGAAAAAAATTCAAATGAGAAGCTTCACAACTTTTTAGTGTTTGTCAGATTAAACATATCAGGAAACCAGCTGGAGTGATTATGAACGCAAATAAGTCCATTCATCTCCAAATTATCGATGTTCGCCTTAAATCTCTCTCTTTGCCGTTTCATTAGCTACTAGCTAGTTGTCTGTGTTGCTATGGTGACCAGCAGTCTGTGCTGATCTTCAGGGTTAAAGGGTGAATTAGCAGTTCTACATTAACTCCAGAGTTTAAGACCATTTACTGTTAAACTGTGTTGCCACGTGTTGCCGACCACTGCACTAGACTAATGTGATTTCCTAGAATTGTTGATGCACTTATTGTCATATGTAAAGAACAAACGTGATTTTTAGTCTCGTTCTCATGTTGGTTTACACCTAATTTCCTCACTCTAGTAACTCCATTATTAAATAGGAGTTATATAAGTAACTGAATAAGCCTGAGCTTTCAGTGGTTAATCATTTAACCATCATAAGCATATCAGTATGCATGAGCTGGGTTTCTGAACTCTCTCATAACTGCATCTTATTCAACCGAAGTCGAATTACAGCCAGTCAGCTGCAGCATCTTTCTGAGTGATAATGATTTTAATGCATGCTTATGATAATATTCAGCTCTGTCTGAACAGACTGAGCACTTGTGGATCGCTCTGAGTGTGTGAGAGAGAGAGATGTGCATGTCTGTAATAACTGGAGGCGGACTTATTACACGGATGAGTGCTGTGATGGAACTGTGACTTTGAATGTGGTAACGAGAGAGAGAGTGGTGTGTGCGGTAAAAGCTGGAGGTGGAGTTATAGAAGAGTGAAACCGGGTGCCCTTGGATGCTCCTCTGTTTTTGCTCTCGGTGGATTCTGAACAAATACAGATAAATCAACCACACAGAGAGAGAGAGAGAGAGAGGGACAGAGAGAGAGAGAGAGAGAGAGAGAGTGAGAGAGAGAGAGAGACAGAGAGAGAGAATGAGAGTGTGAAAGTGAAAGAGGAGAAAAAGAAACAGAAAGAAAAAGAAATAAAGACAGAAGTGGAGAAAGTGAATCAGAGATAAAGAGAAAAAAACAGGAAGACAGAGAGAAAGCAGGGAGAGAGAGATAAAGAAGAAAGAAAGAAAGAAAAAGAGCCTCTGTCAGAAGAGCGAGAGGAAAAGAACATTGAAGATAGAAAAAGAAAAAGAAAGACAGAAAAAGAGAAAGAAAGAGATGGATAGAAAAAAAGACTCTCTCCTCTAAAGAAAGAGAGAGAGAGGGAGAGAGACAGAGAGAGAGAGAGAGAGAGAGAGAGAGAGAGAGAGAGAGAGAGAAAGAGAGGGGGCAGAGAGAGAAAGAGAGAGAGAAATAGAGGGGATAGAGAGAAAGTATGAGACTGAAAGAGGGGAAAATAAATTGAGAGAAAAAGAAAAAAGAGACAGAAACAGACAGAAAGAGAATCAGAGACAAAGAGAAAGAGAGAGAAAGACAGAAAGAATAGAGAGAGTGAAAGAAAGAAAGAAAGAAAGAAAGAAAGAAAGAAAGAAAGAAAGAAAGAAAAAGAGCCTCTTTCAGAAGAGCGAGAGGAAAAGAACAAAGAAAATAGAAAAGGAAAAAGAAAGACAGAAAAAGAGAAAGCATATCAGAGGGATGGATAGAACAAAAGAGGAGAGAGATAGAGAGAGAGAGAGAGAATGGGGAGAAAGTATGAAAGTGAAAGAGGGGAAAAAAGAGAGAGAAAAAGAAAAAGAAATAAAGACAGAAAAAGAGAAAAAAGAGCAAAGCAAATCAGAGAGATGGAAAGAGTAAGAAAGAGAGAGAGAGAGAGAGAGAGAGAGAGAGAGAGAGAGAGAGAGATGCTCAATAAAGTGAAGGCCTTTTCCTTCCTTCCTCCAGAACTCAGCGGCTGAAGTCTTTTTCATTCCTCTTCATCCTTTTTCATTTTTGTTGATATTCTTTGATTCTTTTAAGTCTTTTTGAAGATGTCAGATTACAGACAGTTACTGGGGCAAATCGTCTAGATAATATTAGAGTTACTGATAAATGTCCAGACCCTGGGCACAAGAGAGAGAGAGCTCTTGGCTGCGACAATTCCCTGAATCCTTTGATGATATTACGCACTGTAGAGTGTGAAACACCTAAAATCCCTGCAACTGATCACTGAGGAACTGTTATTTTCAAACTGCTGTATTTTTTTGCTTTTTTTTTATTAGTGAAGTAGCGAACCTTGACCCATACTCGCTCATAAAGGACCAGGCCTTTCCTGGATGCTCCTTTTATACCTAAGCATGACTGCATCACCCATTTACCCCTTAAAAGCCCAGGCTTATTACATACTAAGGCTTATTATTCAGTAACTGCAGGGACTTCAGTGCAAACTGGCTTTTCTTAGGTTACATAAGTGTGTAATAAAACTTTAGGCCCCCTAGTGGCCCTGACCATTTAAGGGATTAAACTAGCTCAGGTTATCTGTGCTGGTTTTATCAGTCAGATGGGAAATAAAAACTGTTCATCAAGCTAAACGCCAGTAACAATTAGTTGCGTCTCTATAGATCCTTTCAGAACTCACTCAACCAGAAAACAGCCATCCGGTTTAAAGAAGTGATTCCCGAATTTCCTTTGAAACTGTAGGTAGTAAGTTTGCATTTGCTGTGTGTTTTGATTGCTGCCTCATTTTATCTAAGGTCAGTTTGTTTCAGGTATGGACACATCATGAAAGCCATTCTGTGTTTGTTTATCCCCTTAAAATCACAATCTTATTACATACTAATGCATGCTATTCAGTGACTACGGAGACTTCAATGCAAACTGGCTGAGCTGTTCTTAGGTTACAGGACCCGCCGGTGGGCCCAGACCATTTAAGGGGTTAAGACTTTTTTTAACATTTCACAATATTTCTAGCCTTAAATTGTTGCAGAATGAATGTATATTTACAAAAACAATGAAGCTGATAAAGATGAAACATTACATTTCTTGTCTTTGTACTGTTCAAACACAGATCAATGTATATTCAGAAATCACTGCTTTCTGCTTTTATTTGCATTTTATCGACTGTCTGAACTTTTGTATAAGAATACATGTGTTTGGACTGGATTAACTGTGGTTCTGATATGATCTGATCATTTTTGTATAGCGTGTGATTGTTGGCTGGTTACATTCTGCAGGAAAGATCTAAAGACACACACACACGTACATAATTAGCCTTTTTCTCAGGCTGAAACTAGTTCACATACCCAGTTTTTCCACTGATGGCAGTAACATTACATCAGAGCCACTGCATATCCTACCTGTGAGTTTGTTTGATTGTTGATTGTTTGTGTTCCACTTTAATCAGTGTTATTTTGGTGCAGTCCTGATTGGAATCTACAGTCAGCAGTGGAAATGTCAGCTGCTTCTGACTGCTGCTGATTACACTGTACACACCAGAGGGGTGTGTGTGTGTGTGTGTGTGTGTGTGTGTGTGTGTACCAGCTGCACAGGTGGGTCCGGTCCAGCCATCTGCACACACACAACTGAAGCCAGTCTGGTCTTCTACACACGTCGCTCCATTCATGCACGGGGACGAGAGACATGCGTGCTCCACTGGAAGAGAAAGAATAATGAAATGAATGTTGGGAAAAAGCATTGAGGCATTCAAACAGTTCATTTTTGTTCTTTTATTATACAACAGTTAGTTCCGGCCACGCAAGCTGATTGAGAAGCGTTCTAGCCGTGCTGTTATTTCACCATCATGTCACGTTTTTTTCACAAACGCTGTATCACTCTGCTGAGACGCCGTTGCTAAGCAACGACTTTGACAGCTGTAGGAGACGCTCAAGCCATTTGAATGTTTTCACTTCTTACTTTACCACAAACAGAAAATGGACACTTTTAAGATCACATTTGACCGACAGCCGATTTGGTCAGACTCTGAAGATGAGGCGACACTAAATTCCAAAACTGTCATCACCACTGAGCAGCTTTTCAGTCGGCAGCTGAGACAGAACAGCTAAACAACCTGGAATCAGCCAGAAATGAACCCAACACCATTCGCCAAACTAAATGGGCTGTAAGATGCTTTACAGACTGGCTGGAACAAAACAACATTGATATTGATCTAAAAACTGACAAAACTGAGCTAAACTTGATATTGCGGCAGTTTTATGGCTCAGTCCGATTTGGTCAGACTCTGAAGATCAGACTACACGTTTGGCGAATGGTATTCGGTGGAATATCAGGAAATCCCTTTTAGCTATGCCACTGTAGCCAAACATTAAACTAGCTGAAACTGGCTGACTTTCTGTTTAGGCTATCAAACAGATGTTTGTTCCTGAGTTTTCTTACTGATCTGTCAAGCATGTCCAGCCTCGCAGCAGTAGCTATGGAAGAGTGCATTGCATGGACAGGTTCTCCAAGTGAATTCAGGCATTACATTAGTGTGGGAGTTGAGAGGGACCCTCTCAACAATAGTGCTCATCAGCGCACGAATCAAATTTACCACTCCACTCACCAGTGTCGCAGTTGCGGCCAAGAAAACCGTCCTGACACACACAGTTATACTCGTTGGGTTCTGTGTTGATACAAGTGCCTCCGTTCTTGCATGGCTGATGATTCCCACAGTAATTCAGATCTGAGAGAGAGAGAGAGAGAGAGAGAGAGAGAGAGAGAGAGAGAGAGAGAGAGAGATTCAGCATAGGATGCTGATAAGGAGCTGTCACATAAAAGTTCCCACATAAAGGGAGCTCTACACGATACAGCAACAAGTTTGTGGAGTTAACATTTTATTTTAAAATTTAGATTTTTTTTTATAAATTCTTATTACTGCACCGTGTCCACATATGAGTTTCCCATTATAGATATGTATGCACCTTTTATGATTGTATTCATGCTCAATAGTTTGCATAATATGTTTTCTGCAAACTGTTATTACAGCCATTCTTTGGACATTTTCACAGATCTCCAATTCTACTAATATAGGTAATAATGTATATAGCTTAAAGCATAGTGAATGAACCATTTGGATTTGGATTCCCGATCTGGAATATACTGAACAAATAACAAGACCTTAAAAAATCCTCAATATGTGTTCCTTACAATGAAGTCAATTGAAGCACTTTTTTATTCACAAACACGTCTATAAAAAGCACAGACAGAAGGCTTTAGTGCTCAATCATTCATAAGTTCAGTACTTGCAATACTACTACAGAAAGCTGTTTTCCATATGTACTCATTATGTAATTACTCACGCAAACACAAAGGAAAAGCATTGTGCAATAGTTTGGAATGTTTGGAAGAGTTCCACGAAAGAGGCCTTTCCGAGAGAAAGCTACAAAATACATCGCCTGAACTTTGCAAAATGTTATTGGGACTTCAACTGGCATTGTGTGATGTGATCAGATTCATAATGAATTCCACTAAAAAAAACAAGAAAAAAAAGATTTGAGCCCAAAACTTGTCCCTCTCCCAGAAGGCTAAAAATTACCTGTGAGTAGACTTTCCGGAAGATAATGACCCCAAACACACCAAAATCCACACAGAAATTGTGGCCTCAGGTCTTTCAACAGCTCTCTCAGTCTCCAGATTTGAATCCAACTAAAAATCTGTGGTGTATACTGAACAGGGCAGTCCACAAGCAAAGCCCCAACAATATCAAGGAAATCTAGCCTATATTTATTAAAAACAATAACACAAATATTGTATTTTTGTACTGTTTTAAATTTAATGCAGGTGAAAAGGAATTTATTCATCTCTACTCTGCCAACTTTTTTGGAAATGAAGATTATAATAATGATAATAATAATAATTAGCACTGCAACAAAATTTCGGCCACTGAAATACAGTCAAAGGTGACACTTTTAGACATTTTGCTCATATTAAAACATTAAACAGGACTACAACAAAGTAGTAACACTTCACAAATCATTTGAACGATAATGAAATATGGAAATTGTGATTGAACACTGTTGCACTGTTTCTGGTCAGATCAGATACATTTAAACACATTCAAACAGTTTGAGCAGCAGTAGATCAACAGTGGAACTGTTCTACGGTTTCTTTGAGGGATATTAGACAAGAGATTTATAATCACTGTTCATCCAAGTATCTACAGTTGGCAAAACACTTAAGAACTGCTCCTCTACAGGTTGAGGTCATTCACTACACAGAATACTGCAAAAGAGCAGAAGCAGAAACGAAAGCTGCTAACATGTCTATGTCATTTGTTTTTTAATTAAGGGAAAAAAAATCACAAAAGACAGTGTAAAAGTGGAAAGTGTACCCAAAAAGTAGTCAGCTCAGGTTTGTCCAATTGAAAGCAGAATTTGTCAATATTAATAATGTATTTTATTTATTATTATTTATTTTATTTTATTTATTACCTTTTATTTATTACCTAATTTTCTCTTCAAAAAATTCTCTTCAGTGCATTTTTTAGTGATAAAAAATTTCTTTTGGGCGAAATTGGTGCCTAATTGAAGTTATATAAGAGAGACAGACCTAAGACAGCATGACAGCTGACAAACTGTCAAAGGATGTTTTCACATAACACACAAAGCTGAGACACACACTCATGTCTGATCCCACCTTTATCACAGAGCAGACCGCCCCAGTTGGTGTCACATACACACTTCCATGGTTCGGAGCAGGTCCCGTGAACACAACCTGGAAACGTCTCACACTCATCGCACAGATTCCCCTTCCAGCCATAGTGACACCTACAGAGAGAGAGAGAGAGAGAGAGAGAGAGGGACAGGGAGAGAGAGCGAGAGAGAGAGACAGGGAGAGAGAGAGACAGATAAAGAGAGATCCGGATGAGGGTGTATAAGTTTACTGATAGTACAGACCGTATGTGATCTGAGGGCAGTGTGGGATGGTGGTTCTTTGCCGTGACTCACTTGCATTCTCCCGGAAGGCTGCAGGAAGCGTGAGCCAGGTTACATCCCTGCTTACACACCGCTGCAACGACACACACACACAAAATTTGGTATCAACTCAGATTAGCAATACTGTAAACAGTACAGGCGCCATCTCACACAAGCGATTCGGACGTTCTACAGCAAACACAAACATAAAAAAAACTTCCGACAGCCTCATGATCAGCCTCTGCAGTTTGAAGTCTGGCTTTATTTTTATAATTTTATAATTTTACTATGTTATATTTTAGTTACAGAATGAATTACATTGTTTGATTTATATTATTATAGTCGAGTTTGACTCTGTACATACAACTTTTTCCTGTTTGTTTTGGAGAAAAACATTGGGGGATGTATTTTCTTTCTGCGAAACAATAATTAAAATTCAAATCATAAAATTTATTTATTTTTTTTATTTTCTACTTGCAAACACAACTGTGACATTGATTACAACAATTTCAATAAAAGGTTAGACCTTCTGGCGTAATTATGCCAGTTGTTTCACTGAGTGCGTTTGTGCGCTTATTAATCCGATAACTGCAGAAAATCAGATTTTGTCAGTAATCCAATCAACATGTTTACACGCACTTAAGCAATCAGATAAAAGAAAACATTTGGGTGTACATGGGTCTTTTGGGGGTCTTTTGGGCTGCTATGCCACCGGCCAATAAACTCACAGAAGAAGACGCAATTTAGTTTCATCTTCGCTCCAAAAGTGTTTTGCTGCGTCTCGTGGCGACGCTGCTCGCTTATTTACGGTCGTTTTCGCACATGAGCAGACTGAGAAATATAAAAGAAATCAGAGTAAGAGCTTACATGCGCTGAGAAATCTGATTACTGAGCTAAAATCCAGCCTCTTTATCGGATTTCTTTATCAGATTTCTAGATCGGAGTATGGTGTTTACACGACCATTTAAATAATCAGATAACTGCAAAAATCTGATTATGATCGGATTATTAAGTGCATGAAAACCCACTCACTGAGCAGTGGAGTAGCCAGAGTCGGGCGCTGTTATATTGAGGTTAACACCCACCTACTAGTCTACCTCACTGTAGCTACCATAACTAGAGAGGCAAAAAATTTGAACACGACACTCAAATGCTGACCATCTAACTGGCAGCTAGGCAGTTAGATGGTCAGCATTTGAGTGTCGTGTTCAAAATCTTTGCACACACTAAAGGCTGTCTCACTGCGGCCCTGCCTTTTACAGAACTAGGTGTAAGAGGTGAGTACTCCCGGTCCGAAAAGTACAAATCCTCTCCATGATTTTGTTCCAACCGCCTGGCCTCTCTAGTTTGCTTAAACCACCAGCAAAGGTGTCCAGGCAGTTGGAACAAAATTCTGAGGAGGGTTTTAACTTTCTGGACCTGGATTACCCACCTACCTCACTAACTACATAAGCAATAGCCTAAGCTAGAAACCAGAGAGAGGGAGGGTGAGTTCAACTAAGTTCCTACAGTCTGCAGAAACAGCTGTATAAATGTTGCATTTTGATGGTGGCTGCTGAAAAATTAGTGATGATCAAAGGAAAGCTCCCCCACCCTCCCCGCCCCCCTGTAGCTACATTATCACAACACGCTTTTCTTCTTAGTGGCAACTTCTATCGGTTAACATTAGTCAGTGTTTTAGTGTCAATATTGATTGACAAAACATCCCAACGGAAGTAAACCTGTATACCATGAAAACACCTTTCCAACATGCAACCGCCAACTTGCTGTCAAAGTTAGACGACCGAGTGTCCGATCCTGGGCACCACAGTGACTCATGATTGTACCCAAGGTCGTGTTCAGTATGACCCAAGGGTGACGTTCCTGCAGGGGCGATGAAGGACGTGGCGCTGACGCCGGCTCTTCTCAGGCCTGCTGACTTCAGTCATCGCAGACAGGATAAGTGATGAACTGATAAGTGAGGCTGGAGGAGAGATTAGTGAGAGGGAGGGCAGCTAGAGTGACATCATGACCCTCAACTTTCCACAGTCATTAATTCATACAGGGGAATTCCATCCATTTCTGTAAACAAAGTCATTCAGAGAGGGTTGGTGTGTGAAACGCTCCGTTCCAGAGAAACCTACTGAGTCAGAATTCTTCAGAGTGGTTGTGATAGGAACCAGACGTCCACAGACACCCTCTAAAAGCTCCCTAAACAGAAGTTATTACGCAAAATGATTACAAATATAGTGCCTGATGGCTGAGACATTGAGTGCATTTACATATCCTCAATAATCCAATCATAATCGGATTTCTGCAGTTGTCTGATAATTCAAATAGTCACGTTAACAGCATATTCTGATTTCTTAGATCAGAGTAAGGTCTAGAAATCCGATTAAGAAATCTGATAAAGAGAGCTGGATTTTAGCTCAGTAATCAGATTTCTCAGTGCATGTGAACTCTTACTCTGATTTCTTTCGGATTTCTCAGTCTGAACGATGTATGTTCATATTTTCAGGTGAAGTGGCACAATAAAAAAAAAGCCGTGGTATGAAGTTTGAGTTTTATGTTATGTTTACGTCACGTCTTCTTCTGTGAGTCTATTGGCTGGTTGTAAAAAAGAAATCTGATTACTGTTTGACTCATGTAGATCCACAGTTTCCCATTATCTGATTACTCAAGTGCATGTAAACACACTAATTGATGTAGATTTTGGCCCAATATGTATTTTTGTGAAGTTCTTTTATGAGGGAGAGCTATGTGCAGGGCATGGTAAAGCAAAGTAGTCCCTAAAAATACCTTATTTTTTCAGTTTTACACTTTTTTACCATCATAAACATTATATTTAAAATTCAGAAGACACGTGTAGGTTCACTGCTCATTTTGCATAGTAAATAAAATGGCTATATTTGTGCTGTAGACATCATGATCAGTGCAGAGTTAGAGGCTGGTATATATACTTGCTGTCCACTAGAAATACCTACTTTATAGTCCAAATTTACAGGCTGTAGCCCATCTGTTGTCATGCACTATTTGCCAGCCAACCCTTTTCCATTCATCATCACAGGCCCACTGTTGACCAGATATTATCTAGGTGGTGGGCCATTCTTAGACCAAGCAGAGTTCACTGACACGGCACAGTGGTGTTGCTGGCACACATTAATACCACTGCTATGGCTAGAGTGGTTGAGAGTGGTTCACCATCCAGCCAAGAGCAGTTCTATGGTCAGAAACTGACCACTGTTCAAGAGCTAGAGGATGGCTAACAAACTCTATGCATATTTAACTGTATAACGTGGATCTACAAGGGAGTGGTCAATAAAGTGGCCTGTTATAAAACAATGCACTGCCCAGGTAAGAGCCCCCTGACGTAATTCTGATCAGCATTCAAGAGAACGCTCTGAATCTCAAGCAGTGATTCAGTGATGTTATCAGCTAATGTTCATCATGGACGCTAAAGAAACTCTGCAGTACTCCTTCACAGCTAAGTGCATTTGCTGTAATGGTCACTTGGGATGCTGGGATTAGTGTAGAAGAGCTACTTCAGACTGCTGTTGTGCAGCTGTACAGTTCGCCTAGTTCTCATTCCAGGAGAATCAAACCAGGCCTGGACAAAAAACAGTCCCTTCACACTATATCACACTATACACCCTTAAAAATGAAGGTTCCTAAATAGTTCTACTTTTACCCAATTTTCTCTCAATTTAGTCATATCCAATTCTACCCACTAGTTAGGACTAACCAAATCATGCGATACCACCAGCGCTAAGAGGGTGAAGTCTAGCACAGGCTTCCTCTGAGACCTGTGAACCCAGCCACTGCAGCTTTTCGAACTGCCGCTCACGCAACATCATTGGACAGCCGAACGTGCTCAAAGAAAAGCGCCAACCGCCAGATCTGTTACATCAGCCGACAGACGTAACAGGAGAGGCGGGGCCTTTCTACCCACCAAGCGAGCGAGGCCAATTGTGCTCTCTTGGACACCCAGCCATGGATGGCTTAAATAGTTCTTGCCTTGGACGCCGATCAGGCATAACATTATGACCACCTCCTTGTTTCTATGCTCATTGTCCATTTTATCAGCTCCACTTACTATATAGGTGCACTTTGTAGTTCTACAGTTACAGACTGTAGTCCATCTGTTTCTCTGCATACTTTGTTAGCCCCCTTTTACCCTGTTCTTCAGTGGTCAGGACCCCCATGGACCCTCACAGAGCAGACACTATTTGGGTGGTGGATCATTCTCAGCACTGCAGTAACACTGACGTGGTGGTGGTGTGTTAGTGTGTGTTGTGCTGGTGCGAGTGGATCAGACACAGCAGTGCTGCTGGAGTTTTTAAACACTGGGTCCACTCACTGTCCACTCTATTAGACACTCCCACCTTGTCAGTCCACCTTGTAGATGTAAAGTCAGAGACGATAGCTCATCTGCTGCTGCACAGTTTGTGTTGGTCATCCTCTAGTCCTTCATCAGTGGTCACAGGACGCTGTTGGCTGGATATTTTTGGTTGGTGGACTATTCTCAGTCCAGCAGTGACACTGAGGTGTTTAAAAACTCCTGCAAAAACTCCTGTCTGATCCACTTGATGCTGTATATTGAAGGTGGGAGGAACTGCTTTGTGGTGGATTTTTGGAGGTGGGCTCGTTTGATTATTTATTTTTTGCTAGTTTGCGAATGCAGAGGGGAGCAAGATTATGGCTAGGAAGCTGAATATCCTATTGCAACCATAAAACTGTGCTAATTCAAATCATCATTTACATGGCTTCAGTGTAAAGCATCCTTGGGTTTATATATAAATTGAACTTATTGTCATTTATTTATTATCATAACAGAGATAATGAACTGTTGGAATGGCAGAAATGACCCTCCAATGAGGAGGACAACAAGCATCTAGATACCTTAGCTCACTTTGGCTTCCTTTCTCTGGCATTTAATTTTTCTATTTTGTGCTAAATAAAGAAAAAAACATTGGTTTCTATATGATTTTGTTTGACAACTAAATTAAGAGCTTGGTTGTATTTATTAACCTATAGATCAGTGGCTAGCAGTCATGATTGGTTGACACCACAGGGATTCCCAGTGGAATGCACTACACATCCCCAGTATGAGCTACACTGATGAACAAAAACATGAACATGATATAAAATCAAACTGATGAGGCTGATGGATATAATGCTGTGCTACAGAATTCTGCATACCAAAACAAATAACATATTAAACTCTAGTTTTAGGTCAAAATGCACCTTTAAAAAGGTTCTCCACTCACAAATCTCTTTAATGCAGGTCTATTGGGGAACCAAAAGTGGTTCTTCTGAGGCGTCACTTAAAAGCATCCTTGGTGGCACCATTTTTTCTTAAGAGTCTGGGCCTGGAGACACCAGTTATGGGTCCACTCTCAATGCTAGCATTGCCTTGAGGCTAAGTTAGGCTTTCTGAAATTACAAGGAGGCCATAAAAAGGCCGGCTCACCCTGCGTGCACTCTGGTCCACTCCAGCCATCTTTGCAGACCTTGCTGCCAGCAGCATCACAGTCGAAGTGGCCGAAGAAGTCGTCACGCACGCGGCAGAACTTGTTGCACTGCGGCCCGTAGTAGTTGGCATCACAGCGGAAGCGCAGGCGGTATTCCAGACTCAGCTGGCGGCCGTGGTGCTGGTACGCCTGCCACTGCTCCCCAGGGTTCAGCATGGACGACAGCAGCACACGCTCAATCAGCTGCTCCTGACCTGCAGGGATGATGGAGAGAACCAGCTTTGTTGTTAGAGGTGTGTAGTACATGTATACGCTGTATAAGACCACTAGGTAACCTCTAGGTGTTGATCGTGAGCAATAGCGATGCACTGATTGTGGGCTGGTGCTGGTGCAGATGTCTGATATTGTTCATGTATATATTTGCAGATATTGATACATAAACATTTAGAATATTGTGGCGTCTGTGGTGAAGAACAACCAGAGCATGCCAGGCTCCTAAAGCCCTTTCTGAAACATGGTGCAAGTGGCAAATGGCAAAATATGTAGAAATTAAGACTACATCTACATGCCGCTCTTATGGAGTACAAATATCATCATATATCATATATATACACTGATGTGTATAGATAATTAAAACAATATTGTATCTTTTAGAAGGTAACTTTAGAGGACAAGGAAAAACGTTCTTAACTTTGAGTGGGAGTAAATGGAGAAATATTTTTTCCAAGTTATTCTGGTCCATATCTGTTGATCCATTTATCTTGAAATTTTGACACAATGTAAAGGGCTATCCTGCCACCGGCCACGCTGCCGTAGGAGTGCAGGAGGCATGACCATGTACAGCAGCCATGTGAAGAGGCTCTTGGGAGGCACCATGCTCACGGCAGGAGAGACATTTAATGTTTTAATATTGTTGTTGTGGGCTGTGGGGTGGTTGGTGCCAATGCTTGTGCCTACTGTGAAGTCAAAGTGTAAAGCTAGGAATGACCTGCTTCCTTGATTGGCGCTGAGCAGCTATTCTCCCTTGCTGTCTGTTCAATAAAAGAGCATTCGACTTTAAATATATATATATAATATATATATATATATATATATATATATATATATATATATATATATATATAGAATGTGCCGTACAACCTTTGCACAGGACACATTTTAAGTTTTATTTTTTCCCTCGCTATTTTGAATTCAGAAACTAAACAGTAACTATGCATTAAAAACTACATAAGTGTGTTTACTGTGCAGGATCTGTTTATTTGCACTTATTTTCACTTAGAAAATCAAAAAAAGCATACAGTGGTGGAAGTAATGTTCATCACTGTACTTAAGTAGTTTTTTGTGTATCTGTACTTTACTGAAGTATTTCCATTTTGGGCGACTTTTTACTTTCACTCCACTACATTTCAAAGTCAAATATCTCACTTTTTACTCCTCTACATTATGAAATCTGTCGCTCCTTTTGGTTTATGTGTGAATAAAAACGTAACATGTCAAAACGAAAGAAGCGCAAAGTATAGAAATAAATCTTAAACTGAAACTTTGCTTGTTTGTAAAAAGTTATTTCAGAGCCACTCAGTTCTACCTGATGGAAATTGTTTGCCTTCAGTGTTTTGTGCTTATGATCATTTTAATAGACATCAGCGTCACTAATTAATGACATTCTATTAAAAGACTGGTTTACCAAGAGTGACACTGGAGTATTTTCACCTAAAATGAGTTAATGAAGCGAGTCTAGTTACAAAAATGATAATAGGACATAATTAATCTTTTAGTACTTTTACTTTTGATACTTAAGTGCATTTGAAGGTAAATACTTTTGTACTTTTACTCAAGTGGAGGTCTAAAGAGAGGAACTTCTACTTTTACTGGAGTAAAATTTTACCTTGGGTTTCTCTACTTTAACTCAAGTACATGATTTGTGTACTTCGTCCAACACTGCATGCCCACAGCACTGCCCGGAACTTTTGCACTTGACTGTACATTTGCCCTGTAACGAAAGCTAATAATAAAACATCTGTCGTTTTTACTGTCCTTATTCCACTACTGTGTGAATTCTGGTCGCATTTGTGTGCTCAGTGTGTTCAGTGTAAGAGACTCTGAACAGCACTAAAATAATGAAACACAGTCACAGTGAAATCTGAGATTTCCTAAACAATCATATTAGAATATAATTAAATCACTGTGAGCTCAGAGATTTTCTCTGCTTGGCGTAGATGAGTGATGATGATGATGACGGTGGTTAAGAAAAGGAGCACAGTTAAGGCCACTTTCAATGGGGGAGGGGTGGGTGGTATGGGGGCGACTGGATCCTGCACCAAAAAAGAAACTTATTGACTAACTCAGCACCCGCTGAGAAATGTCCCACCTTTCACACACGAGACGGAGAGGAGAACAGAACAACGTGACCACCAAGGAAAGACGGCAGAACCAGCAGAGAGCATTTTACCTATTTGTGTCTGAGAGAAAGGACAGATTCTCAGATATCTTACATATCAAAAGTCATTTTTATTTCTTTTTTCTCACCATTTGAAAATGTCAGCTTGTCTTCATGAAGAATGGCCCAATAGAAAAGCTCCAAAATGACACATACGTTGAGTTAAGCAGGACTTTTGTTATAACAGTGACAACATTTATTGTCTTACATACTTTTCAGGTGAGTTTTCATTTCTCTTCCTGCTGCTGTTTATGTTTCCTCTTTTTTCTTGGTTAGTTTTAATCATCTGCTGAATTATTTTTCCAGCCAAATTTTATTATTTACTTTTATTTTGTAAAGCACTTTGTAAATATGTTTTCCTAGCCTACATACATCAAACATATTAATATGTATTTATTATAAACTATGTATTAAAAACAGGTTCTTCAAGGATTACTTAGTAAAGGCTATATGGACAAAGATGCATATATGGACCGTTTATAATAATAATACCTTTTTTTTTTTCATTGCTACAATGTGCTGTCCTGGATCAGGATCTGTGAGACTGATGTCATATTCGAAAAAACACGACCGTCATCGGCCAATCAGATTACCAATGTTGGGCGAACTTGCAAAGCGAGCTTGGACCCCGCAAATTGCCGCTTGCGGATATATTTATGATTATTATTAGTAATATCTCACTGCTGATCCACTATAACATGGCAAACCTTTTTCTTTCTTACAAAATACAGTGCATGTGTCCAGAGAAAGAGAGAGAGACAGAGAGAGGGGAGAGAGAGAGAGAGAGAGAGAGAGAGAGAGAGAGAGAGAGAGAGAGAGAGTATAACAAAAGGCAGATAAGCGAGGGAATAAACAAAGAAGCTGATGAGATCGCTGAGGCTGAACAGCAAAAAAATGAAAACAAGGAAGGATCAAGGTGTTCAAACACAGATACGCTATCATATTAAACGCACACACACACACACACACACACACCATATTAACATTAATTACACACACTCAGCGTTCACACCCAGCTAACATGATCCACACAGACTACTGCTAATTCATGGAGTGCAGCTGCTTTATTCTGCATTAGCTCAGCGGCTGTAATTAGAGCTCTGGTCCATTTAAGGGCCTCTTTAACACGGCCAGTGAAGAGAGGGTCACCAGGCACTTTTAACGGAACGGAGGGATAATAATTCTCCTCTGATGACTGTACTGGAACAGCACTTAAAACAGTGGCTGAAATACAGCACCAGTCAGAAGTTTGGACACATTAAAATAAGCCTTTCCTTATTCTCACCATCTTGGGGGGTGATTGTCTTGATTTAAAGGAGAAAATTCCACAGATTTTTCAAAAAAAATCATCTCAGTTCAGTCTTTACAATGTGTACAAAGCCATTCAGAGTGGTTTGATGGGGAATTCTCCCTTACAGACAAACTCATTGTGTCAAAATTGTTTACAGTGGTGGTGACAGGAACGAGGCGTCCAGACAGCAGAAGCGTTTAATGCCTCTAAAAGTTACCTCAACAGAAGTTAGTACACAAACTGGTTACAAATATGCTGCCTGATTCCTGAGACACTGTTTCACGATAGTTCTGAGATAAGACTTTTTGCCAAAATGTATTTTTTTGTAAAATTCATTCATGGTGGGAGGCATATGCAAGGTGTTGTAAGGCCAAATGGTCACCAAAGGAAACATGTTTGTTTTGGTTTTATTCATATTTTACCATTGTCAACATTATACACTGACCAGGCATAACATTATGACCACCTCCTTGTTTCTACGCTCATTGTCCATTTTATCAGCTCCACTTACTATATAGGTGCACTCTGTAGTTCTACAGTTACAGACTGTAGTCCATCTGTTTCTCTGCATACTTTGTTAGCTCCCTTTTACCCTGTTCTTCAGTGGGCAGGACCCCCATGGACCCTCACAGAGCAGACACTATTTGGGTGGTGGATCATTCTCAGCACTGCAGTAACACTGACATAGTGGTGGTGTGTTAGTGTGTGTTGTGCTGGTACAAGTGGATCAGACAAAACTGGTCAGGTGGTTGGTTTAATCTCTCTAGTTAGCTCTCTGGCAAAAAAAATGGAAGTTAGCAGCCTGATGAACATTGTTCACATTTAAAAAAGAGAATAAAAGGGAACTCCACTGGTCTGGAGTCCAAGAAAGCATAACTGGCCTTGCTCCCTTTGGGTGGGTAGGATGGCCCTCCATCTTTCCCATCACTAGGGTAATACTAGCTAATGTGGGCATCTGTTAGCTGACGTAACAGAATTGGTGGTTAGTGTTCTCCTCCAAGCGCACTGAGCTGTCCAATAATGTTGCATTAGCAGCAGTTTGAAAAGATGCGATAGCTTCACATGACTTGGAGGAAGCATGTGGTAGCCTTCACTCTCCCAGCCTGGTAGCATAGTGCGACTGGGCCAAGCTAGGCTAGTGGTTGGAATTGGTAAAGACTACATTGGGGAGAAAATTGAGTATATCAAAGAATTTTTTTCCCTATATTTAGCAAAAAGAGGCAACACTTTATTTGGATGGTCCACTGTAGATTCTTTGTAAATGCTCAGTATATATTTAAGTAACATTCAACTGAAAAGTCATTAAATGCCACTGAATTTGAAGTTGAACATTACTTAGATGGGTCACTATAGATGCTTTGTAAATACTCAGTCTGCCTTTCAATAACATTCAACTAAATATCCATTTAATTCAACTGAGCTTGAAGTTCAGTGTGGAAGAGTTTATTAAATCTATCCCAAACCCTAAACCTAACCCTAAACCTAACCCTCACCTTAACCTCAAGGCCAAAACCCACACCTACTCC